CCAACAATTCGCTATAGCTACAGTCGTACTTTGTGCGGGGTAACCGGCCAACACCTCACAGCAACCCACCGCACCACTCCACCACCGCACCACTCCACCACCGCACCGCTCCCAGCACCGCCGTCGATAAACCTGCCGAAGTCGAACTGCGCAGTTTTGAAGGCAAAACGGCAGAGAGTCGTCGAGTCAACGCTTTCGACTTGACGTGTTTACCTTTAAAATAAACACATTTCGTACATTTTGTTTCCTCTCCTCCACGACCAGCCAGGCAGCTGCTCTTACTGCTTTAATATTTAAACAGAGCACATGAGCGCACACCACTGTACAGTGGAAACAAGTTCAACCGCCGATAACTCGCTTTATCGCCTCCTCTCTTCGGGGTTCGGGTTCGGGCGGGATGTGGCCGGAGCAGTGTTCCCCCTTTGCCAAATCTCGTGCGCCCAGTGGAGGTTGGCAGCCCCGCTTAATGGAGCCACGTGATTTGATGGAACTCTGCAGGCTACTTGTTGCATGTTAGAGGCCAGACGAGGAAAATGGCTCATTGGGATTGCATCATCTTTGGGCTTCCCCTGGATGGCTTTCTGGGGCGTAGGCTTGCCCACTTTGTAGACCGAATTAGGGGCTCTATATTTTGAAGACTGTCTTACAGTTTCGTCCCGCACTGTACTGCTAACCACTTACATTCATGGTTCGTGGGTCTGTTGTGAAATCGACGAAAATTAGCCGTGCCAATTAAGCCGGCCATCTATATGCCTGAATGATAGGGAGTACGTGTTTAGTGGCTGGTTGAGTCACCACTATCGTTGAGCCACTGGCTCGCACCGACCCGACCCCCAGTCTCGAAATCTTCCACAATCCGCCGTGCTCTGCAGTGTCCCACGCTCCCTCAAGTTCAGCGATTTCCCATTTCAATTTGTTGCACTTGCCGGCGATAAGCCGCCACTGCCACCGCTACCAAGCCAGCGGGCTTATCTTCGACCAGTTACTCATCCAAGTCGCATTCCCATTCGCAGGCTGATGACAAATCGCTGCTGGCCCGCTTCTTCCACGCGGATCGCTCCCTCACAGCCGTGGCCAGCGAGCTGGACAGCTTCGATGGGCGAGCGGAACCGGACCGGTGCACCAGACTGGTCAGCAAGCTGCGGCTGAACCAGGTGAGTCCTCAACCAACCACTCTGGCGGGAGTTTGGCGCTAATCCTTACACCCTTTCTTTGCAGGACAAAGTGCTGGCCATCACAAACCTGATCATGGAGGAGCTACTGGGCGAGGATCGCGACCCGAGGGCGTTCCGCGCCAAGTTCCCCGAGGAGGTCCTGCAGGAGAACCTCGCCGGCCAGCTCTGGTTCGGCGCCGAGTGCCTCGCAGCCGGGTCCTCGATCATGAACCGGGAGGCGGAGAGCAAGGAGATGCGCCCCCTGGCCCAGGCGGTGACCAAGAGCCTGGGCAACGTTCGGGTGCTGCTCAGGGACCAGTGCTTGAGGAACAACGTGCCCAACAGCAAGACCCTGCAGCTGGACCTCAACGACTCCACCACCGAGCAGCTGTACGAGAGCCTGAAGATCTTCGACCGCCTCTTTGCGGAGTTCGAGCTCAGCTATGTGAGCGCCATGGTCCAGGTCAAGTCCCGCCACGAGTACGAGATGCAGCAGTGGATCGGCGTCCTGTTCTCGGAGACCCTGCAGCGGGCTCTCAAGATTGGTCTGCTCGACCAGGACATGGTGGACGCCTTCGACCCGGGACTGATGTTCTCCATTCCGCGCCTGGCCATTGTGGCGGGCCTGGTGGTGTACGCCAAGGGGCCCCTGAACATGGACATGCCGGGCGACCAGCTGTCCGAAATGTTCCGCCCCTTCCGCACCATCCTGATCAAGATCCGGGACCTGCTGCGCAACCTCAACCACGAGGAACTGTACCAGCTGGAGAAGGTCCTGTGCACCAACGAGGACATCAACACCAAGGTCCCCCTCGGCTCCAGCAGCATCGAAGCCCCCAGTCCGGAGCACAGCACCCATCCCACATCTAGCAGAAGTAGCAACAACAACAACAACAACAATAACAATACAGGACACCCCACGGGGACGACCAACACGCACAGGGCGGTGGAGCGGCTGGTGGACCAGCGAAACAACAACAACAACACTAACAGCAGTAGCAGTGCCCCCGTGCTGGACAAGGCTGCGAATCGTTCTCCGTCCATGTTGTCGCTTTCGCCCAACAGCACGCCCACCGCGTCCCCCGCGCCCTCTCCCACGCCCTCGCACTCGATAGCCTCCACCTCGTCGGCGGCCACGGGCTCCACGCATCCCCCAGCGGACTGGAGCGACGGCGATGACGAGGACGAGGAGGACGACGACGATATTGAGGTGGAAGAGGAGGAGTTGGACAGTTCCGACGACGACACCGACGTGGAGCAGCTGCTCAAGGACATTGTGGCGGCAGACTGCGCGTCCGGCTACCTCATACCCAACACGAACCTGGGCAACTTGCTGCAACCCCAGGAAGTTCCTCTCACTGACAACTTCGTGGCCAGCGAAGATGATGAGTACGGAGCGGGGGAGCAGCGCCAGCGAGACGGGCAGGAGGACGAGCCCAGCACCAGTGCCGCCATGCTGGCAGCCAGCCGCACCTTGCAGCGGCTTCGCCTGCCCAGCAGCGATGGGGAGCCATCGGCGGACCAATCGACAATCAAGTCTCCAGAGCAGGAGCAGGATCAGCCACACCAGTCAGTTCACCGGCACCGACACAGTCACAGTCATAGACACCACCATCGCCACCATCACCATCACCACCAGCGCCACCACCACCACCAGCATCAGCAGCAGCCGCAGCCGCATCCGCATCGCACAACCCGCAGTGGGCGGAAACGCTGCAGCCTGGACTCCACCGAGTCGGAGGCGACGCACGCCGAGAGGGATCGGGAGCCGAGCCAGGCCAGCGGCGACACCAGTGCCGCCTCCTCGCTGTCGGACGACGTGTCGCTGGCCATGCGGAACACCACGGCCCGCCTCAAGTTCAAGTGAGTAGGACCGGGAGGAGTTCAAGGGTTTATAACTAAGACATATTATCTTTCCAGGAGCACTGAGAACTTGCTGCACCGCCTGTTCGTCTGCATCGCCGGCGTGGCCGACCAGTTGCAGACGAACTTCGCCTCCGACCTGCGCCAAATCCTGCGCAGTGTATTCCTCATGAACATGTCGTCCGCCCAGGAGGAGATCGACATACCGGAAAAGACAAAGGAGTCGGAGCTGTTCGAGTTCCGGGCCTCAGAAAACGATGTGATACAGGAGAGCGCTGGCTCCAACCAAAGCATTTACTCAGCGGAGGAGGTCAATCCCGAGCTGGACAATGTGTTCAGCGCCGGCGGTGGCGGTGGTAGCCCAGGGAACGGCAACCAGGCCAATGCTGGTGCCCAGCGCCATTCCGCCGGCGGCAGTATGCAGCGAAACAACACGGTTGACGACAGCAGCCCAAGTGGCGGAGGCTTGCTGGCCGCCAGTCGCTCGCATGTCATGCGCAGCCGGAGTCTTGGGGATCAGGAATCTGCTAGTACAGCCACAAGCAGTTCCCAGCTACACCAGCAACAGCACCAGGAGCCGCAGCAGATGCAGATTCAAGTGCAGCGACAGCGCAACAATTCCGTGGGCAGCAACACGCCCTCCAGCGCCTCCTCCACTAGTTCCAGCTCCGAGCAGAACTCCCCTGTGAGCACCAGGAGCGGGAGTCGCCGGCGGCTGCAGAGCAACAACGAAACCCAGATGCCTTCGTCTGCAACAGTGGCCACAACGGCAGCAGCCACGCTTGCGCCGCCAGCCTGGATTCCGGATGGCAAGGCGCCGCGCTGCATGTCCTGCCAGACGCCCTTCACTGCCTTCCGGCGGCGCCACCACTGCCGCAACTGCGGGGGCGTCTTCTGCGGCGTCTGCTCCAACGCGTCCGCCCCGCTGCCCAAGTACGGACTGACCAAGGCTGTGCGCGTCTGCCGCGAGTGCTACGTGCGCGAAGTGCGCTCCGGGATGGGAGTCCAGGGGGTGCCGAGCGTGCAGGAGCGGCTCACGGCGACCGCCTCTTAGGACTGGCCTACGGCGCTACCCGGCGCAGCTGTTGACCAAAAATGTGGCAGAAGCGGAGGAGGTCGGGGGGGAAAAGCTAACTGTGAACCGCAATCGGGCTGCAAACATTGTTCTTTTTACTTTATACGTAACACCCCTCCCGCACAGAGGAACCCTATTTAGACCATATATATTTCCTGAATATATAAGCCTAGTTTTAAACTTTTTTTACTTTGAAACAACGACCAACCGAGCGTCCGCCCATCGGCCTATCGGCCAAGCGATCTGACGCCATCGACCCTTTGTTCATATCAGCAACTTTCGGGATAAGATAGCTTGCATTCCCCCCAATATCAAGTTTTGTTTTTGCCTTATCGTTTGGGGCTTGGGGGCCAGGCCCTGCCACCTGGGGGCAGGGTTGGCCAGAACTCGCTATGCGTTAGCTTTAACCTGCAAGTCCTCTGTCACTAGCCAGGCCTTACTACAACATATTGCAGTTATGCAGTTGGGGGAGTAGATAAATGTATATTTTTGTAGCGTTGAGTACCATTGTCCGGGCTGATAATCCGTAGGCGTTAATTGTAGCAGAAATTTTTGCGAAACATTTTTTGTGATTTATCGTAATTTAATATGTATTAATTCCCCTATGTTAAAGCGTTTCTATCCGACCTAGCTGGTATAATTAAGTACGTACGTAGATGTATGTGGCGCGACGAGTCCTTACATTGAATTTCAACAATAATAACAACTATGATACCCTAAAGACGAGTATATATACATATATTTTCTGATTCGAACTTGTATAAATGTAACAACCAGAAATCTGTAAATTCAGTTCAACAAATATACGCAATTTTATGCTTAAATAAATAATATTTTAACTTTTTTTTATGTACGGGTGGGGGTGCTTTAATTTAGAATTTAGAATTTAAGTCATTCCTGTTAGATAGTTGCCTCACAACACACTCCAACTTGACACTACTATTGTTTGTTTTTCGTTCTTTTGTTTTTGGAGGCATTTTCCTCCATTTTCCGTTGAAAGTTGAGCCGTTCTTGAGCGAAGATGGTGGAGGAGAAGGTGGACACCGCAGAATCCCCCAAGGGGAAGAACAATAAGGTCAAGGTGAAGATAGCCAAGCCCGCCAAGTCCTCGGCAACCTCGTCCAAGACTTCCGTGTCCAACCCATCCCTGCATTCCATTGCCGAGCGCTTCAAGGACGTCAAGGATGCGGCCCAAATGGACCTGCTGCTGGACCTAGACGACAACTTCTTCGCGAGATCGTACCTGTTCGTGCAGTCTGTGTTCACGAAGAACAGCGAGCTTGCCGCCAAGTTCAAGTACTACGTGGACATCCTCTCCAGGCTCCACAGCCACTACGCCTCCGAGCTGGCTGAGGGCAAGGCCATGCAGATTAAGATCCGAAGCGCGGATGAAAAGCTGCAGCTGGCTCTTCGCACCACAGCCACTTCGGAGGCGATGATGGACCGCCTGCGGGAGTCGCTGGAGGACGCCTGGCGCAGCGAGGATGCGTCCAAAAACCGGCAGGAGAACCTGCAGCTCCAGCTGTTGTCCTTCTCCCAAAACGATCAGTCGTTTATCAGGAGCACCAACCTGGATCAGGACACCCCAAAAGGGTAAGTGGCTTCCACTTGAGAAATGGAGAGAAGAAATTCAATCTGGGGTGCTTTTAGGCGGGAGGGACACATACGAAGCATGGTTTACCGCGAGCGGGATCGCCTGGCGGCCGAGCTAAAGGACTACGTGAAGCGCCTTCAACTGAACCGCCTCTACGCGGAATCCTTGGAGGGAATGATCGAGGCCAACCAGGAGACCAACGTGAAGCTGCGACAGCAACTAAGGAGTATCGAGGTGGAGCAATACCGAACGGAAAACACACACAATCAAGAGATTCTCAACTACGAGGAGAGGATCACGACCTTGGGCAAGGAATTGGAGGCCTTGTTCCACCGCAACCAGGAGCTGGTCTTTAAGGACAAGCAACTGGGAGAACTAAACATCGCCCACGACGCCCTGAAGGTGCGCTGCGATCGCCTAAGCCGAGAAAACGTGACCCTGTCCAAGGTGAACCACGCCAACGAGGAGGAGAGGTTCAAGTTGCAGACCAGCATCAAGATGCTGGAGCGATTGAACAACTCCCAGCGTCGCGACATGAGCGAACTGACGGCGGCCAGAAAGCACGCCGAGCGGGAGTTGAAGAAGAAGAGCGACGAGACCGTGTTCCTGGAGCGAAGATTCCTCCAGTTGTCCAAAAAAAATACCGAACTCCAAGATCAGGCATACGTTAATAAGTAAGTGTATGGTTAAAAGTATACTGACCTTAATATCTATGAGGAATGATCCCCGAAAGCAATGAAATCAAGGTGCAGGAGAAGAAGATAGCGATGGCCAACTCGAAACTGGACGATGCCCTTCACCAAAGGGACGACATGGTGCGCACACGGGAGAAGCTCCGAATGGAGATCACCCGACTGAACGACATGGTCGCTGGTGTGAAGCACGAGATGGCCGTATTGCGCCACCAGATGCAGGACGTCCAGGAAGACCTACACCGGGCCAACAAGCAGCTGGATGACAAGGAGTTGCAGGTGATGAAGGCTCAGCGCGAGAAGAGGGAGGTGGCAGCGGAGCTGAATGAGACGTTGAAGAGGATTGATGGGCTGGAGGGTGAGTGCCTCGAATGCCTCGAGTGCCTTCCATTTAAATATCTCCTCTTCCGTTTAGAGTCTCTGTCGATTAAGACCGAACGCCTCGAGCTCATCCAGTCGGAGTTGCAGCAAAAGCACCAGGCGTATGTAAACGCCAAGAAGCAGATGGAGATCATCCACTCGGAGAAGGTGATGCTGATGAAGACGATGGACCTGTGCTCGCGGGATCGCTCCACGCTGCAGAGCACGATGGCCAAGTTGACCCACCAGATCAACCAGTTGGCTAACACGGTAGCCCTAAACGAAAAGGAGATATCCGCACTCCGCAACCAGATCGAGCAGCTGAACAGGGCCGTGAAACAGAAGCAGAACGAGATCCATTCGAAGGAGCGCCTGTTGGCCAGCACCCGCTCCGACTTGCGGGAGATGAAGATCCGGGCGGAGCAGTCGCAGCACACCATCGACGCCGACGACCAGCGCTTCAAGACCATGTCCTGTGCCCTGGAAGAGGTGAACAAGGAGAAGAGTTTGGTGGGTTTGCAGATGGTCAGGCGAAACGACGAAGTGCGTCTGCTCAAGGAACGTCTGTCCATGATGCAGAAAGCCATCAATCGGGGCACCATGCAGTACAACCAGCGCTTGGAGGACATCCGGCTGCTCAAGCTTGAGGTGGCCAACGTCCGCATGTCCCACGAGTGCATGCAGCGCGAGGTGGGCAACAAGGCTTCCCTGCGGCGGGATGTGATTCGGCTGGAGCGCTTGCTGAATCAAGAAAGGCTGCGGGTGACCGCCTACGGGGAGGAGCTGGCCCGCCCCTGTCGCATTCACCGCTGGCGCGTCCTCCTCGGCAAGGATCCTAGGCGGTTCGAGCTGCTGCGCAAGGTCCAAACCTTACTGCGCCAAAACATTAAGCTCTCCCTGGAGCGGGAAAACATGGCCAAGAGTCTGGAGGAGTCTAAGCGCCAGTACGAAGGCCTTAAGCGAACTATCAAGCACATGCCCGATCCCAGCGTGCGGGAGAAGCTCTGTGTCCAGCAGCGGATAAACCGCAAGCAGAGTCGACGCCTTAAGGCCGCCACTGCAGAGTTGAGGATCAACGAGATCGATTTAAAGGCCCGCGAGTGCCTCATCAATGGCTTCCAGGAGCAGCTGCGGCAGCAACATCAGCTCCAGAAACTGTGCGACACTGGCTGCGGGGACGGCAAAACACCCGCAGCCCCGCCTCACGACGAAAGGTTCTTGGACACCCTTTTCGACAGTTCCTCCACCTCGAACCATGACAAAAGGTCAAAGTACTGCAAAAAGACCATGCACCGGCCCCGATCTCTGCCAAAGTAGTATCCATTATCCACCTAAGCGTAAACTAACAGAAATATGTCAGAAACACAACATAAATATTACTTTTTTACATTAAAGTTTAATTTCTTAAAATACCTTATGTTTCTGCTTTTGTTTTTATCTTTAAAAACACTTTAATTATCTTTAATTACTAAAAATATTATCCTTCTGATTGATATTTTCAAAGTAAATTGCCAACCATTTTGAACCCAGCGCCCAGAGTTCTTGGGAGCTGTGCCGGTGCTGAGTAGCAGTGCATCTGGTCCAGCAACTGGCGCTCCTCGATGAGCTTCTGCTTGTGTTTCTTCTCCTCCAGTAGCTGGGTCTTGGTCATGGCCAGATTAACCCGCATCTCCTCCAGTTTCTGCTTCTTCGATTTTTCATCCGCCTCTCTGGCACTCAGCTCTGCTTTCAGGATCTTTAGCTTGCGATCCTTGGCGGACAACGTGGCCTGTCCATAAGAAAAATAAAAGTCATAAATGACCTATAACTCATGCGTATAAAGACCCACCTTGACACTATTTAGCTCCGCCCGAACTTTGTGACTGGGCAACTTTAGCATAAACTCCCGAAGGGCGGCGTACAACTGCTGAGCTTCGTTCAAAGCCCGCTCCTGCTCCAAAGCTGCCACATTTTGTTGCAGCAACTGTTTGCGCAGAATGGCGATGCGCCCTAGCAGGTCCATCTTTTCGGGATCCTTTCCGCTGAGCAGGCGCCAGCGGTGCACATTCATTGGGGTCACCATCTCGTCCTGCAGTGCGCGAGCCTTGATCCGCTCCTGGTTGAGCATTCGGTGCATCTGGAGAAGCTCTTGCCGTAGGTCTGCCGCACTCTCCCGATCCGTCCTCAACACATCTCTCTCCGTGCGCAGGTTCTTAATTTCAATGCCCATCAGGCGTATGTCATCCTGGCTCTGGCTGCACTGCCTCTGGGTTTGGTCATAGACGGTTTGAAGGTTCGCCAGATTATGCTTCAACTGCTCATACTCCTCGTTCCGCTTGGTGAGTGCCGCGCTGATGGCGTTCTTCTCGTTCATCAGGTTGTCCACATCTTTGCGTAGCCGAGTCAGTTTTTGTTCATCCTCCTGGAGAGACTTGGCATGTCGGTCGTTCTCCTTGCGCTTGTCCAGCAGCTCCGCCTTTGTGTGTTGTTGGCCTAGCTGGGCGTGGCGGATGTCGTTCCGCATCAGACGCCGTTCCTTTTCCATGCGGTCTATTTGGAGCTGCAGTTTGGACAGTTCCGCATCCCGGTAGCCAACCTTGCCTTTGAGTTTCTCCACAACCGCCTGAAGGTTGACCAACTGATCGCGCAGCTTCTGTCGCTCCTCATCCGCCGCCTGGACGTTCCTTTGGAGGGTGTGCCTCTCGTTGGCCAGGACGTCATATTGCTGCTGGAACTTTGAGCACTTGGTCTCCAAGTCGCTGATGGTGCGCTTCAGTTCGATTTCGTAGTTTTCCTTCAAATGCAATTCGTCTAATGGGGGAATGGTTTAAAGTTTAACTTGTAAAATATCAATAAGAATGTATTACTTTGCAAGGCATCCAGCTTGTCTATCCAGTGCTGTATCTCGTCCATTTTTTTGGTCTTCTCCTTCTTTAGTTTGGTGGCATCCTCATTGAGCTTCTTCAGCTTAATGTCCATGCTGCTGATGGTGTCCTTTAGGGCTCGAACCTCATGCTGCGACTCCTGATGTTGGGCACTGCTGTGATCCAGGTGTTGGTGCGTGGTCTGGAGGTCTCGCCTCAAACAGTCCCTCTCCTTGGTTAAGTTCTCGTTGTTCTTCTCGAAGTGGTGGACTACTCTTCGCATAGATTCCAGCTCCTTGTCCTGGGTGCCCAGTTGGGTTCTGTAGGAGTATTCTAGGTTTTCTAAATGTTGCTAATAGAAAGTCACTTACTTTAGTCTTATGTTTTCCTGCTCGACCTCTCTTTTGGCTTCATCCAGACCTGCATATTTCCGGGCAATAGTCTCCTGGGACTTGGCCAGCTTGCCATTGTCCTGACGCACTTTGATCAACTCATCCTCTCGAACCTTCAGCAAATTGATTCTCTGGTTCAGGGCTCTTTTGTTCTTATCTCTCTCCTGCACCGTGTATTCCAGATCTACGGTAATCTTCGCCAGCTTGTTGTTCGTGGCATTGTGCTGGGTGTTCAAGTGCTCCAGATTCGTTTTAAGCGACAGGATCTGTAGGTTCTGTCGCACCTTTACTTTGGTCAAGTGCTCGTTGGCGGACTTCATTTGGGAGATTTGCTCCTGGTACCGGGATTCCTCCGATTTCATTGTAGAGAGTTCCTTGGTTAAGGCATCACTTTTACGTTTAAGATTACAGGCGTCGCTGGAGGTTTCCTAAACACAATAAGTTGGGTGGGTAATGGATATGTTTATATCATTGTGAATCATTTACTCACATCTAGCAGCTTCACCAGTTCCTTATTCTTGGCCTCCAAACCTTCAATGGTTCTATCCAATTCGGTGCAGTAGGTCCTTTGTAATACCAGACGCTTATTGAGTTCATTTATCTCGGCAGTGAGGCGTTCCCGCTCCTTGCCATCATCTCGCTTGCTCATGGCGATTCGCTTTTCGTTGAGATGGACTATCATCGCCTCGGCTTCATCCAGCTTTTCCCGAAGACTCAAAACTTCATCTTGGGCAGACTGCTCGCGGATTTGGGCAGCATCCTTTTGTCTCCAAGCGCCCTCTAGTTAGTCATGGGAATGTTTTAACATATTTTTCCCTGGATTCTTTAAAAGGAACCCACCTATCACGCCACGGAGCTCCTCAATAGTGGCCATGTCCATTTTGCTCACACGAGCCGCGTTCTCCAATCGCTCTTCGAGACCCTCAATCTCCTTTCGCAGCTCCTGACTCCGCTCCTTCTCCATGCGCAGATCGCTCTTGTAGCGGCTGCCACAAATAAGTAATCTTTGGACATTGTCCGCATTGTTGGGAGTATCCTTTTGCCGCAAGGCTTTTGTGGCCTGCGAGAATTCCAAGGCATATATGAAATACATTGTAGTTACCAACTCACCTCGGGTATCTTGTCACACAGCTCCTTGTAGAAGTCATCATCAAAGTCGTCTGGCACCAAAGGCTCATCTTCAGATCCCGACGCCTTCGACATTTTTCTCTTTTTCCAAAGCTAATGCCGCTATCGACCAAACTTTCAAGGTTGCAACCTTGTCCTGGCAACAAGTTGCCATACCGGCACAAGTTTCCTTGGGCAACCACAACAGGTTAGTTTGTTTACTTTCTTCGGAATTTATTAAGTAAAAAAGCTTCATAATTCTTAGTCTCTATGGAAACATTATCAGCTCCAACATGCCATGGAATTTGCAAGTGCCACTATCTCTTCGACATATTTTAGTTAATCTCTACGGCTTTGAGTAAACTTTGGAATATTCTTTAAATAAATTACAAAAAATTAGTTACTTTCAGCTTAGGCTTAATTAATTAGACTAAATTGACTTTTTGCCATCACAAGAGCTTCGATGTTGGGACTATGGCCACTCATCCTCGAAGGGAGCATCGTGGACCGTGTGGAAACTGAGCCCAGTGCCTTCGGGCTTGTGCCAAGACGGCAGCAAAACAGTTCGCCAAAAGGATCTGCAGACAAGTTGATTAAAGAATGGAATTTTCTGAAGGATAACAAGCTCACCTGCCCCTCACTAAACCAAGAAACAGTTTCCAGTTCTTCTTGGTGCCGAAATTGTAGGGGTTTATGTAAATGCGTTGCTGTTGAAGGAGTCTTTTCCTTTCTGCTTCATTGATGTGGGATTCCACACTTGTTTCCCCCCGGGTGATGAGCTTCGCGTGCCAGGTGCACAGAGTGCCCAGAGCTATCACCACGGCCGCGTTAGTGAAGGCCATGAACCACAGGACTCTCCGACGACCTGGCGAGGGTGCATCCGTGTCTACGATGGGAGTTGGTAGGTTGTGCACAGCTGGTGGCTGCATAAAATCGTCGTATTCATTCGGATGAGTCTGTAAATAGCACTCATTAGTTACTATTTTTATAGATTAAAACTAGGAAATCAATTACCACTGGAATAATGTGTCCACTAAGGTTAAATTTCACCGGCTGCCCTTCTAGAGGCTCTACTTCAGTCCAGTTGTCGCCATGATCCAGCCATAGATACTTATAGCCAATCTCAAGACCAAACAATATGAGAAACAGACAGCCCATTGTAGTGTACATCATGTATAAGAAAAAGTATCTATGGTTTGCATAGCCCACACAATTGTTAAGCCAAGCTAAAGGGAATAAATGTTTCATTGCTTTAAAATGATATATTTTGGATACGTACGACAGTGATGATCCATTTTAAGGATGCAGCGATTGCACACGGAACAGTGGTGAGTTCTGGGAGGTTTTGGGGATATACACTTTCCGCACATGCTGACTGCCTCCACCAAGGACACGCCTTCGGGCGGATAGCCAGCTGGGGTAATCACGGCCATTATATAATGGAAGACCACATTCAAAAGAAGCCAGTTGCCCACAATAAGCAGAAACACCGTCATGAGCTGGCTTTTGGCCCACCAGAAGGGCAGCCCAATCCAGTAGGCGATGCTTACTACTGAGGTGGTCAAGGCAGCCACTCCAACCACAAAGAACTGAAATGATAACAAACTTCAACACCCTTCACTAAGCTAGGCTTTCGTTGAGTGTTACCGGCCCCAGGCAGTGTGTATAGTTGTCCACTACCCAAAATATGGGAGTCAGACACACATCCGAGGCATAGGAGGAGTTCATGTGGGCATTGAAAGTCAGCGAGTGCCAGCAGTGCTTCATGTAGCTCCAACGCAGCCGGCACATCGAGCTGTCAAAAAATAAACAAAAAGCATAAACAACTGTTCTGATTGCCAGTCCTGAAAGCGTCTTACAGCAGCTCCTGGCTGGAGTGACCTCTCCAAGTAATACGGGCCATTTCAGTCTGGCTTTATCGAACCGTCCCAGACTTTTTCACAACATATTTTCTAATAAAGTTACTTATTTGTTTTTTTTTTTGTGTGCGGCAGTGTGGCCGCTCGCCAAGGTCGTAAATTAAAATCCACACAAAGTCCACAGCCTTGCGGCGGTTGAAACACAGAGTGACCGTTGATTATATCAGCTGTTTATATCAAGCAAACGAATATTTTGTTTATTTGTGAAATTAATTAATATTGTGCCAATTTTGGTATGCGTTCACGCAGCAGAAGTCGCAGCCGTCGCCGGCGCAGCAGATCGGACTCAAGGGATCGATCTCGAGCGGATAAAAGGATTAGTACTCGTCAGCGGTCATGTTCCAGAGAGAGGGAACTTCACAAGGCAAGGGCACCAAGACGATCGAGGGAAAAGGAATCACCACCTAGGCGACAACGCTCCCGCTCACCGTCTTCCGGCTCAGAAAGTTCTTCAAGCGACAGCGGTTCCTCCAGAAGTAGGTCGAGGCGGCGAAAATCCAGATCGAAAACCGTGGAACGATGGCCGAATGATAGGTACCACGAAATAAACGACCGACGTGAGAATCCATTTCGAGGGCAAACAGAGAGAAGCTACATCAACGATCCAGCGGAACCATCTAACAGATCCCATAACAGAGGCAGAGGAGGCGGTGGCCATCATCCCAGGGGCGACTCAAAACTTGTCATTGCTCGTAGGAACCACAGGGTGACAATCGCCGAAGAAGGAGTGCCAGATGTCTGGGGCAAGAGTCCGTCACGGCCAGAGAACGGGGATGTGGAGCTGGTAAAGGGATCCTATATAGGACCCAAGAAAAAGAAAAAGAAGAACAAGGGAAAATCCAAGAAATCCGATAAAAAGTCCAAGAAAAAAGCCAAGAAATCGAAAAAGAAAAAGAGCAAAAAAGCGTCCAGCTCTGAGGACTCCTCTAGTTCTAGTTCTAGCAGTGAGGACAGCAGTGATGACACCTCCAGCTCCAGTTCCAGCTCAGAAGCTGAGTCAGAGACCGAGGAGGAGGATGTTTGGCTTGAGAAAACGGCTGAGGGGATCAAAAAATCCAAAAAGAAGAAATCCTCAAGTAAAAAAGACAAAAAGTCCAAAAAGAAGAAAAAGAAGAGAAAGTCAGAAAGAGATGAGAAAGCCAAGAAGAGTTCCTCGTCTTCCAGCAAGTCAAAAATTAAGGATGGAGCCTCCCATAACGATGAGGACGTGGGCCCATCCCTTCGCACTGGCGGCAGCCTAAATCAGAAGGACTTTGGCAGGGCTTTGCTGCCTGGAGAAGGTGCCGCCATGGCAGCCTACATAGCTGAGGGCAAGAGAATTCCTCGGCGTGGTGAGATCGGACTGACTTCCGATGAAATCGCCAACTTCGAGTCCGTGGGCTATGTGATGAGTGGCAGTAGGCATCGCCGCATGGAGGCTGTGCGTATCCGTAAGGAGAACCAGCTGTACTCCGCCGACGAGAAGAGGGCATTGGCCATGTTCAGCAAGGAGGAGCGTCAGAAGCGAGAGAACAAGATCCTATCGCAGTTCAAGGACATGATCCACTCCAAGTTGCAGGCCAAGGACAAAAAGTAGAAAAGTCTATTCTTATTATAAGCATCAAGGCCGACATTTTAATTTTCATATTAAATATTGTAAAGATCACGAATAAATTTTATACATTTGAATCTAATAAAAAACTAAAAATTAAATTTAAAACAAAAGTAGTTTGAATTAAAAAAGTCAAGCACCCTGTGTGCCAATATTGGGATTCCACGGAAAAGCCAGTCTGGTCACACTGCCGAAATGTCCGATAAAACGTGGGGTTGAAAAACCTTTGGTAAAAGTGTGCCAATTTTGAAATTGAACCCAAAGATTGCATCATTTGCGGTTACATCCATGTTGGGTCTTGTTTCTACTTAATCATTAGTCAAATTCCACACCACTGAGTGTCATTTTTTAGACAATTCGCGAATGGTAGGTGCCAAAAAAAGTGCCAGCGAGTGAGCAAGACAACAATAGGCGAACAGGCGAGCAAAACAAACTACCACTAACCGGCGGTAGATAAGCAGGCTTGCAAGAAGAAGAGCCGTGCCAAACAAACGAATGATAAGCACGCCGAATACAATTGAAAAATACATTAACAACCAGACACACACAGGCACATAAGAGAACACACCCACACATTGGCTTCGTTTAATCAATTAACGGGACAACGGCTAAACGTTCAGTTTTATTCTCGGTCTTAGTTCCAGTTCGTTTCCAACTGTCGCGTGCGAAGATTGTGTCACCGAGAAAGGTTCCTGGGGTGAAAATAGAGACTTGACCATGCCCGCCGCCGACGAATTGCAGTCGCCAACCAGCGAAATGGTTCTCCTGACCCCTAACTCGGAGAACCCTCCACCCAGCTTAGGGCCCAACGACCATGCCAACGAGAAACAGGCCAACAACCAAGGAGGACGCGAAGGATCTGCGGAATCAGACAGCAGTCGTGTGGTGATGAAGAAGCAACTGGGCCTACTGGAGGGTGTGGCCATTATTCTGGGAATTATCTTCGGCTCCGGGATATTCGTTTCACCCAAAGGCGTCATCCAGGAGGTCGACGCCGTAGGTACCTCGCTGGTCATCTGGGTGCTGTGCGGGCTGCTGTCCATGATTGGAGCTCTGTGCTACGCGGAACTGGGCACTGCGATACCAAAGTCTGGAGGAGACTATGCCTACATTTTCGAGGCGTACGGATCTTTGCCGGCGTTTCTGTATCTCTGGGATGCCATGATGATATTTGTGTAAGTTTTAAAAAGAACCTAAGGTCTTTCAAATAGACTAATATAGTTTAAAAAAAATTGCTTTAGCTGTCAATAATGAATAAATTATGATTCAAGGTTTTTTTTTAAAACCAAAAGATAAAATATTCATAAGAATTCTCGAAAGAATTCATTAGCAATTGACAGGGTCAAGGCCGTGGAGCCACCCAGATAAGCCAACAAAAGTCAACAATAACGATTTTCTAGGCCAGTTAATAGAAAGTAAAACCATTCCTATCGTTCTAAATCTACAGTCTGCAAATATATATTTGCTTTTACGAAAGTTAGTGTATTACCTGCTTTATTGCTGCTATTTTTGGCATTTAGAACTAGCGATAAGCATTTGTGCAGGGAGATTATCAGTTGGACATATGTCTGAATGCAGGATGCATAAATTTTCCATTGATTTGTTTGGTTCTTATCTGTTGCAGACCTACAACCAACGCGATTATGGGCCTCACTTTCGCTTCCTATGTGCTGGAGCCATTTTTTGGCGGCGCTTGCCATATTCCCAAGATAGCTCTACAGCTCTTGGCCGCTGCCACCATCATATTCCTCACCTATTTGAACTCGTACTATATGAAAATAACCACAAAAATGCAGAACATCATCATGTTCACCAAGATCGCTGCTCTGGTGCTGATTATCATCGTGGGCCTGGTTTGGATGTTGATGGGAAACACGGAGAACTTTAGCCGCCCCTTCGAGAGCACTCAGACTGATCCCGGCAAGCTTTCGGTTGCCTTTTACTCCGGCATCTTTTCCTATGCCGGTTGGAATTATTTAAACTTTATGACTGAGGAACTCCGCGATCCCTACCGGAATCTGCCGCGTGCCATTTACATTTCACTCCCTCTCGTCACCGGAATTTACGTGCTGGCCAATATGGCGTATCTGGCCGTACTTTCGCCTTCTGAGATGATCGCCTCCAACGCCATAGCTGTGGTAAGAATCTAACCCATGGATATTGGAAAACATTTGTGTCTGTTTTATTCAAACCAGAACTGAGGCTTGCGAACTGTTTCAATTGCTAACCCATATCTTTTCAGACCTTTGGCAATAAAATTCTCGGCGGCTTTGCTTTAATCATACCCGTCATGGTAGCCATCTCGGCCTTTGGCGGCCTTTCCGTCCACATCATGACCTCCTCCCGCATGTGCTTTGTGGGTGCCCGTAACGGCCACATGCCGGCTATTCTGTCGCACATCAGCGTGAAGAGCTACACACCGCTGCCGTCGCTGGTCTTTCTGGTGAGTGGACTGCGCCCCTCAATTAACGTACAAAAGATATTATGTAATTAATCTCTAATTGACTTTTTTGCCTCCACTCGCAGTGCTTTCTCTCGATTGTGATGCTGGTAGTAAGTGACGTGTATGTGCTGATCACCTATAGCAGCATTGTGGAATCGTTCTTTATAATGCTGTCAGTGTCGGCGGTTCTGTACTTCCGCTACACTCGTCCTTGCATGGAGCGGCCAATTAAAGTAAGTTGACCAATCGATGATGGACAGCTTAATACCCTAGGTATTCTACCATGTCATGTTCAGTACAATATAGAAATTATGGCTCTGTGCTGTAATATTTATTAAAAAGTTGACCCCTCTTAACCTTTACCTTGTCACACTAAGCTCAATTCATGCTATATTTTACGATTATATTGTTTTCCTCCGTCAGGTCTCTTTGTGGATTCCCGCCGTGTTTGTTGTCGTATGTGCCTTTCTGGTTGTGGTGCCCATTTATGTGGCGCCCTACGAGGTCGGCATGGGGGTATTAATCACCCTAATTGGCATACCGTTCTACTACGTGGGTGTCGTGTGGCAGAATAAGCCGAAATGGGTGCAGCAGTCGATTGGTAGGTATTCGCACCAACCCTCTATTCCCCGTTTCATATTATACCGTTTTTCTTTATAGACTCGCTGACCTTCACTTGCCAGAAAATATTTATGTCTGCCAAAGAGGAGAAGAGGGATTAAACTAAATGCATAATCACCAAAAAGGAAAACCAAAAATCATATTGATAAAATATGGAAGTTACGAGGTTACTTTTACTCTCTAAATTTATGTTAACGCTTAGGACGCTCGATGTTCGTCCGATTCAATGTGAACTGTGGAACCTGAATACCAAAAACAAACAAAAATACCTAAAAAGCATCACATCGACTACAAAACTAAGTCTCCGAAATAATATTTTTTTATACATATGAAACATGAAAAAGAACGTTGCCCCAACATGTAATATCATCGAATAGTAGTTTAGTTTCGTTGAAATCATTTAGGATTTAATTTACCAAAGTAACAGTGGCCAATTTCGGCATATTTTTTGATATTTGCCATATGGTGGTTCCTTATTTTTTTGTTTGTATTATTTTGTTTGGTTTTTATCGTTTAAAATGTTTTTAACCCATATTTTACCACCTAAGCCTTTGCATTTGTAATAAAGACTTTGTACGTTTATTCGAGCTTTGTCAATCTTTTAGGCGCTGCCCGCAAAAGTATGCTAAAACTATTTTCGAAAAGAACAAAACAAAATTTATTTGATAAAGGTAAATTGATTGAGCATCAATTGCGGGTGCCTTAAGCCTATCCGACAGTATGCCTGTGGTAATCGATTACGACTGATAAGTCATACTACTATTTTTAAGCCATTCATGACGGCGAAGTTGTTATACTGGCCAAAAATAAATCGCCACCGTCGCAAATTTTGACATTTGGAACTTTCGGATACCCGGGGCATGACGCCAGCTCTATATTCGATCACTGATAGTGTATTCCGTACGGATCTGGACGCGAGTCTAGGTGTTTTTAATTGATAAAATTGTAGCGAGTATTCCGGATGCTCGGCACGGAAACCAGGTGCGCCCGTCTATGCAAAACTAGGCTACTTGGTATGCGACGTATTTGGCGCCTCGTTTAATGGCTTTTTAAGTATTTATATTCACTTGGTACGACTAGTTACCAGATCGCTCGTAAAATTGGCTCAATTTAATACTTTTTATCATAGCCAAATAATTGAGTTATTGCGACTGGTCGAGCATTGCTAATGCCCTGGGTGGCTCCTTGATCTTTGCCTTGTAAACACTCTGAATTGGTGTCGATCTTCGCCAGCAATCTCCGCCATTTCACAAGTTGGCTCTAAGATCAATAACAGCTTGATTAACTATTGCTAATTGCTGGCACGTGAGTTCCGCTGCAAAATAAAACACCTCTTGCTCTTGATGGACTCTATGTTTATTGATTGATGGGAGCGTAATCTAGCACATTAAAATATCTTACTAATACATTAGTTGCAAGAAACCTGACGTTTTCATAATCAATTGCTTCGGTGGATAGAACCATCATTCGTTTCTATTGACAAGGAGTTCCTTTTGAGCCAAGCTGCTCATGTGATAATCATGCGATTATATTCAGCCAAAATATTGACACCTTTTTGAGCCATAATTTTGGTGTACAATGTCGTGTCCAAACACTTAAATTAGCGGTAGGAAGCTCTGTGGTAAGCAGAGCTGAGTGGACCGAATAAAACTGGTAACCAACTTGATGGTAAAACTGCCTAAACCGATTTTGATTGGATTGAATTGTTTTAGTAGTTATATTGATAACTGATAGACTACTGAAAGTAGTTAACATGTAGTGAAAACATATTCTACACTACTTTAGGAACTCAAAATATTAGGTGGCTATCACAGCTCGTAAATTTAATCCCACTCTAAGCCTTGGCAATGGAATTTCTGTTGTCCGGACAGTTCAATTCCAACTATCAAAGTTCGTGTGACCACCATAAAGATATAAATAGATATCAGAATGCGCTCGCTCTATATACATATTTGCCATTCGAGCACTCGTCATGTGGATCACGAACGCCCCATACATGTGTAAAGACGACGTTACAGATCTCACAAAAAAAAAACAATGCTATGATTCTCCAACTCAAAAACTCTAAAACGTGCGAAATTGCTCAATGAATATGGGTGTTTTGCCTCGATTGCGATCGATCGCCTGGCGGTGAGTTCCCCGCATTCAATTAGCGGTTTTCGACATGACGTTTTCGCGATTTGCTGGCTTAGTAACGCCAACTGACTGGGCCCAAAACAAATAAATAAATCCCCAAATTGTATGCAAAACAAAATATTATCAAAAATTGATCGAAAGCCGTTACCACTTTGCTGTTTGCCAGAGGTATTAGGTGCGAATTATGACGAGTTTGTTCCCTCAGACTTTGGATCGCGTTGATCGACAGCTTTTCGCCCTTTCGTTTTTGGCCAGGCGGTGTGATTGAGACTTGAGGATATTAAGTATACGCCACGTTAAGTATACGCAGTGTGGTGGAGCATCGGGCCGGGTTCTCCGCCAAATTTCGCTAAGCGTCCCGGCTTAGTGGGGAAGCGTCAAACACTTGCACACCATTTAGTCTGGCCCGAATCCCCCTTCAAATTCCCATCGATCGATCGATCGCCGGCAGTTCGTGCGACTCGCAGGTGACTGTGCGTCGGTGTGAGTGAGTATCTGTGTACGGTGCACGCGCTTCGGGCGGGGATTTCAGCTTTCGAATTTTCAAGTAGTTCGTTGACTGCCCGCCGAGGAAGTTGTGAAGGTGCTCCGCCATCGAATCGTCCGCGCAGTCTAGAATCCGTCACCAGATCGGAAGGTGCTCAACCCGCTCTACTCCAGGAGCTCAGAACCTATATTCAACTGGCACAGTACAAACCAATCCCCAACACAAGCGCGCACCATGAAGTTGGCCATTATCTTTGAGGCTTCATTCTTGTTCGTCTGCTGGTCGCAAGGTAACTGCTGCACTTTTCCGTGAAATGTTTTGTCAGTCATGTGACTCATCCGTCTTTGTCCAAAGAGTGCCAAAAATACTATGAATCAAAATAGATTTAGCCATAAATTGATATCTATTCTGGTTAATTTACTCTGACTAAGTTCGAGTGGGTATTCTTAAAATTCAAGTTCTGATAACATATTTTCAAAATACTGATTTGTCGCTTATTTTGTTCAGTGATATATAGTGCAATTTTTTCATTCATTAAAATGGTTTCCTACTCTATTTCGTAATTTTGGATAACTTTTTGGAGAATGAGAAAATCAATATAATTATTATAACTGAGTAGAAACAGAAAAAAATATATAGACATTTAATTTATTTCTTATTGTGCAAAAAACCATAACTGTTGGAGCGGCGTGTGACTGGTCATATCTATTACGAAATGTCAATACCTGATATTGGAGGGATCTGGGCATTAGCAGTCATAAGTAGGCACTTCACGAAACTAATTTTAACCAATTCAATGGGGCTTATTCCACTTGATACTGTCAATTAATACAATTTATTGGCTGCCAATTGATTTAGATGAATTGCTCGAACGGAAGGAAAGTTTTAAGGTATTCTTTATTTGACAGTCATTAGCACTCCGAGCCTTACACAACATGTAAATAGTTCTCTATTTGGTCTCGGATCGATAAATAATATTTGCTCGTTAAGTGAACATCTGTAATCAATACACTGACAGCTCTATTTGTATATTTATTATTTAGAGCTTAAATGAATTTTAATTAGCCTGATTACAACAAAAGAAAAATAAACGATACGACAAAATAATATGCTCATAATATGTGTAGTCCGTGACATAATACCAAATGGCCATACCTGACAAACAACTAATTTATTATCTAAGACTCTGATAACTTGGCAGAAATAAAATAAATTGTATTATTAAAAATAAACGTTCAATTAGACTTATCAATCGAACCTGTTGTGCTGCAGACCATTCCCGCACAATGGAAAACCGTGTCATATGATATGTTAATGCGGTGCGAGCTTTTCAAATAGAAATTATCACCAATCACATGCAAATTAGTCTTTAACTAAGTATTTCCTTTCGCTTTGCGGCAGATTCCGTGGAATTTTCTGCCAGCCTTCAATCGAGGTGGAAAATAATGAAAATTGTGTGCACTGGTCTTTATCTGAATCGCGTCGATATCTAATTATTATTTCGTATTTGTGCCCTTGACGCTCCGAGATTGTGGTGCTTTCCTTAGAGGTCTGTTTACCCAGTTATTTATTTATTTGCCCATTGACTAAAAAAGAAAGAAAAGAAATCAGCTAATATTTGTTTGGTGTCCCATTTATTATGCCGTAATTCACAAGTGCTCGTATATGTCAGAGATAGCCCCGGAGAAGGTCAAGCGAGGGGGTGAAAGACACGGGCACGTGATCGCTCATAGCTCGGGGAGTCTCGATCCAATATTCCAGATGACATGGTGCCTTCAAAAACTTTTATCAATCTGCTCGATTAAGGACTCAGTGCACATTCCAAAGGAAAATTGATTGCAGTTGGTTGCGGAAGGTTCGCGAACTAAAAATTTCACATTCGCTATCTAAACAGAATACGTTTTGATTAACGACAGCTTATTAGCTAGCGATTCGATTTAAAGGCCAACTGTTTTTCGCTGGAAAAACGTTCAAAAGGCTTTGTCGAGTTCGTTGGTGAAATTATGGACTTGAACCATTTCAGAACATTTTAGCATTTCTGTACTTTCGTAACAAAACAGACCATAATCGAATTATTTTCTTTCAGCTGTCAGCGGACATGTCTTCGGCTACTCCGAGCCCAATCAACGGCGCTGGGCTCGGCATCATGGTCACTGTGCTGGAAAGACCCAATCTCCAATTGCCATCGCCACCACCCGGGTAGGGTATTCGGGTTAAAATCTGGCTAAAGGACCAATAATCAGGAAAATTTGTTCCTTTCAGACGATACCCGTTCATATGCCGGCGGTGGACATGATTGGCTACCACAATTTGTTGCCTTATCCCCTGAAAATGGTCAACAATGGACACACTGGTGAGTAAAGGGACAGAACTTCCACTAAAAAAAATGTATAATGAAGTTCAATAACAATTCAAACATTTTGAATTGCTTTTGAATCTATAAAAAAAAGCAAAAATAATATTTATTTTACTTTTTTTTAAGATTTTTGTCCTGTATCTTAATCCTAATCGATTGCCTATTGCAGTTTCCATCGGCATCCCTAAGGTCAATGTGAGCGAAGTGGGGGAAGATTTTTTGCCCTACATCCGGGGCGCCAAACTGCCCGGGGAGTTCGAGGTGGAGGGCCTGCACTTCCATTGGGGCGACAAGAACAACCGGGGATCGGAGCACGTCATCAACGACATCCGCTACACCATGGAGATGCACATTGTGCACCGCAACAAAAAGTATGCCACCATCGGCGAGGCTCTCAATCATCCTGATGGCGCCGCTGTCCTGGGATTCTTCTTCAATGTGAGTTTGTGGGCTGGGTCCGTAAATCTCAAATGTTTTGTGAACGCCCTTTTGTGTTCTCCGCTTAGCTGGATGAAGATGAGGGTCAAGGCCTGGTAACCATTAACCGTCATTTGCATCTGATAGCCGATGCCAACCAGGAGGCCACCCTGAATGTAACCTTCTCGTTGTCTTCGCTGATTTCTGGCGTGGATGTGGACAAGTTCTATACCTACAAGGGTAAGTCCAAATTGTTAAAGAACTTGAATACGTTACAATATATATTTTAGAATCACATGTTTTTAAATTTATTATAAAACAAGAAAGCAAAGCTAACTTCGGGCGGAGCCGAAGTTGATATACCCTTGCAGTTAAAACCGGATATATATAGCAAACATCGGATATAGTTGGCCGATCCTTATGATTACATCATAATAAAACCAATTAATTACAATAAAAAATCTAAAAAAAAAGTTCCAAGCTTTTATCTTCAAAAATACGAAAGTTGATATTTCTACCAAATACCATTTCCGATCGTTCAGTTACATGGCAGCTATAGGATATAGTCGGCCGATCCTAATGAAATTTCGTAGGTCGGATTAACTGACCAAAAATATAATCTGTACCAAGTTCCAATTTTCTATCTTCAAAAACACGAAAGTTGGGTCATTTCCGATCGTTCAGTTATATGGCAGCTATAAGATATAGTCGGCCGATCCTTATGAAATTTGGCATGTCGCAATGTGTTGCCAAAAATAGCTCTCGTGTCAAATTTGAAATCTCTAACTCTAAAAACACCAAAGTTATACCATTTCCGATCAATCAGTTATATGGCAGCTATAGGATATAGTCGGCCGATCCCGGCCGTTCCGACTTATATACTGCGTGCAAAGGAAAGAAGGGTGTGTGCAAAGTTTCAAGTCGATAGCTTTAAAACTGAGAGACTAGTTCGCGTAGAAACGGACAGACAGACAGACAGACGGACAGACGGACAGACGGACAGACGGACATGCTCATATCAACTCAGGAGGTTATCCTGATCAAGAATATATATACTTTATAGAGTCGGAGATGTCTCCTTCACTGCGTTGCACACTTTTGGACAAAATTATAATACCCTCTGCAAGGGTATAATTACTGCATTTTAAAATGCAATATCCCAAGAGGGAGCGCCATCTTACCATTAGTATGCAATGCATATGTTATATGATGGGCTGCTGACAGGGAACTCGTGTCTACAAGCGATGCCTATCGATGATGTCACTCACTCAATGTCATACCTGTTCTCTTCACAGGTTCCCTGACCACTCCGCCCTGCTCCGAGGCAGTTACCTGGATCTTGTACCCCGATCCCATCCCCATTTCACCCAAGCAAATCTCCCGCTTCCGCCAGTTATCGGATGTCCAGGATGGAGCGCTGGTGGATAACTTCCGGAGTCTGCAGCCAGTGGGAAATCGAAGGATCTTCGTCCGGACCGGACATGTGCGTCACACCTCGGTCTCGGCCTTGAAGCACGAGACCGATTATCTCAAGTTAGACTGGTTCTATTAAACTCGAACAGGCAACCGGATGTGGAGCAGTGTGCCATCCCATATTAGGATACCTCTTAATTAAGCATTTATTAAGTAAAACTAACTAGTCTAACCATTATCGGTTTAATAAATACAAAAAAAAACAAAGAAAAGCTTTCTTTAGGCTTGGCTAAAACTTTTCAATCTACTTCCAATCCCAATCAAAACCTGAGCAACTAAGATGTGAATTGGGTCCAGGTGAAAAGCATGAAAAACTGAATATATTTTTAATTGGACAGTATCTTGGATGGTTAATGGATATTCACTCCCAAACTACTAAATCAGCAACCCCGTAGGTATTTATGTTTTATAAGTGGTGATGACTGAAATATACTGTGCAATGAAAATAACTGCGAGAGTACCATACTGTACCATCAAGTACCGAAAAATTAAAAATCTGGAAATCTGAAGTGCAACAACTAATTTTAATCAGTAATCATCTTCGATTTGCGGCCATACAAGGTCAAGGAGTTAGGAATGTCCTCCACAAAAAAGCTGGCCGGAAAAATGCTGAATGTCTTGTGCAGCAGGTCCAGCAGGGTCCGTTCCACGGTCTCCACCACCAGTGGACGTAGCGCCTCGAACAAATCCCGCCAGTTATCGTTGAAGAACTGGTTGGTTCCCTCTTCGACCTCTTTGCTCCGCCCATTGAATAGGTTTTCCATGTTGGTCCGTACTTTTCCGACCTCTAGCTTCACCTTCACGGAAGTCACGTTGTAGAAGGTGAAGCCGGCCTTCTCATAGAGCCGTGTCTTGGCACTCATCAGTATATCCAGGTCATCTATCAATAAAATGGTTTAATTGGTGGGTTGTATTAATATTAATAAACAAGCAATTAGTTTCACCTATTTCCAGCAAGATTTTCCCGGCTCCGCTCAGGGGAACTAGTAATATTTTTCCAACCATTTTGTACATGCCATCCATGCGCATCTTTGGCAAATAGATCTTGGTTAGCCAACTAAAGTCTTTTTTACTGACCCTGGCAGACAAATATATAGGTTATTTAAACGAATAATAAAATATTAACAACTTACTTGCTCTCCTTGATCACCATTTTGCCAAAGCCGCTAATTAGTAGTTCTGTGAGATTCGCAGCAATACTGGCCACATCGCTATTATCTTGCTTAAATACCAGTTGCTCCTGTTTCATGGGATCTATATGCCCAAAGGATTTTTCGATCTCCGGTATACCTATTTAATTAATATTATTACCAAAAAGGACATTTGGGGTAGTTCTTGGACCCACCTTTAGTTACCTGATTCATGAAGGCTTGGATGGAGCGGGTGGAGCATTTGGTGAATTCTGGTTCATAAATCCGACATGATTCAATATATGGGGCTGAACCGTAATAACAAATATAAATATTTTGAATACATTAGCTTCACACCGAACTCTATTTTCATTAAACTTACGCTTTTCCGTGTAGATCTCAACGCCTTGAACCCCCAAGAGGGTGGCGTGAATAAGAAAAACTATGCCAATTATGTTCATGGTTAGAGGATGACGTCACTGTCACTGTTCACTGTCACTGACACAGTCACCGTCACCGGGAGTCTAATCGGGCTTAAAGCGCTCAAAAGGCGACTGAGAAGTATCACGAACTGATGCTGGTTTTTATCTGAACTATATATATACTCGATGCTAATGTTGACATCCGACCGACTAGAGTGCAATTGATGAATTAAATCTGAGGTCTGGGCAATACCAGAATTGAGGCATTTTCATGAACTTATAGTAGCGATTGAAATGTATTCCATATTTATTGCGCGTGTAATGCACAAATATTTGTGATTAGGTGAATATTATGGAATGTAGATTAAACAAATTATTTCTTAAATGCTTACTTAGATAGATAATAAAAAAGATAGAAATTCATTTTAGAAATATTAAAATTTCAAATATTCATCAAACTTAAGTATTTTTTTATAGTGTAGCTACTGTTATTGCTGTTGTTATAAGACTCTGAAAGTGTAGCGACTTCACCTTGCCACCGAACCGGTAAGTTAATTTTATATCTAGCTGGAAAATACGCCGCCAACTGCAAACGCAACAAAACAACAATGTTTGTGCAAATACTTGCATATCATACTCATATTTTGCTTTGACTTGGGCAAACTTAATTGCTCTATGTCAGGTGGAAATTAAAAATGTAATCGCCTAATAAAATCATTAAATGGGGAGACGGCAGCATCTTTTAAAATAATCTGCATGTGTCCCTCTTGGAATGTCTAATGAAAACAATTAGAACTTTGGACTGTACTACTGTTTAAGAACATACATAGATATGTATGTATGTATGTAAACACTATACAAGTGTATAAATGAATCCATTGCTGATAAAAATGTTATTATTAAATTATTATGATGTGACGGCCTTGTATATGAATTAGTGTTGTAATCTTTGTTTACAATGTTTGATACACTTGATTTTTGTTCTTTCTTTCAATCTTTGTTTGATACACTTGATTTTTGTTTCATTAATAAAGGCTTGTTTTATAACAAGAATGGAAGCTAAATTCAGGCAGAGCCGAAGTTCATATACCCTTGCAGTTTAAAACGGATGTATATCGCAAATATTGGATTTAGTTGGCCGATCCTTAAAGATCCTTAATATCATAATAAAACCAATTTATTGCAATACAAAAAAAAGAACGTCCAAGCTTTTGGTTTTTTTAAAAAGCTTTTTCCAAATACCATTTTCAAAACTTTTTTCAAATATTATCGGCCGATCCCGGCCGTCCCGACTTATTACTAAGTGATTTAGAAATAAGGGTGTGTGCAAAGTTTCAAGTCGATAGCTTTTAAAACTGGGAGACTAGTTTGGGTAGAAACAGATAGACGAACAGACAGAAGGACAAACGGATAGACAGAAATGCTATCAACAGAAATGCTATCATATCAACTCCGGAGATGATCCTGATCAAGAATATATATACTTTATAGGGTAGGAGATGTTTCCTTCACTGATTGATCATTTATTATACCCTCTGAAAGGGTATAAAAAGGCAGTAACAATACAAATACAATTTACAAAATATGTATGTAATGCGTAAATTAAATAATAATGTTAAAGTTAATATTTTAACTACAATTATGACATTGCTTTTTATGTAAGTGGTTTTAGTCAAAGTTATTCAATGCATCCCTCGGGTTCTGATAAGAAGCATGCCTCTTCGGACTCGCAAATTGCATGCCTCAGAGCTTATGAGCGCTCTTGGAAACTCTTAACCGCCAAACGAAAAACGGAGGGGCACAGAAATACTCAGAATGTGATAAGCTTAAACGGATGCCAATAGTCTTGTTTTAATAGATATACAAAAATTAAGGAGGCCCTTATGTGCTAAAATATTATAAATGAATACACACGAATAGTTTCAAAAAAATTTTAATTTTAAAGCATAACTAGTCTGGGGCATACTGGCTAATATTACCTGTATCATCTATAGCATGTAAAATGTATACTTTCCATTTAAATATTTAGGCTTTAAAGCAACGCCAGCTGTTCAATTTATTTTATTTTTTACAAAGGAAAAAATGATTAAGTAAAGAACCACCCTAAGGCAACGGAATTGTGTGTGAGAACAAATGCCTTTGGCAAACTGATTTTTGCGCAGAGAGTTTTAGTTTCATTTCTAAGTGGATCAGAGCCCGATGAAGACACAATTCCATCATGTGGACTGCGAAAGTGATTTTAATTTCCGTACTCATCAGCGTTGTCGCGGCACAATATTGTTCAAAATCAGTCTGGGATCGGAAGAAAAAAACGAGCAGGGTGGGTATATCATAAGTTGATCAGTGCATTTAAAAAAATCTTTGTTTATCCAATAGGTGGTAAGGATTTGTTGTCCAGGCTATGAAAAAAAAGGGAGAAACCAATGTGTTCCCCGATGTGACACTCCTTGCGCCAACGGAGTCTGCACAAAGCCGAATGAGTGCACCTGCAAAGACGGCTATGTTAAATTCAACCAAGAAAAATTAAGCCGGTAATATACGTATATTTTATGAATAGCTCATTATTTTATAAGTCTAAAAGCTAAGCTAATCATTGGCTTAAAAATCTTTCCAGCTGTGTGCCTTTCTGTAAGGGAGGATGCAGCCGCGGAACGTGCCAAGCTCCCAACAATTGTGTCTGCAGAAAAGGATATACCCTTGACAAAAAAAGCGGAAGCTGCATGCCACTCTGCCGCAGTAGCTGTCCCAACGGCAAGTGCTTGCTACCCAATCATTGCACTTGCAACAACGGGTTCAAGTTGAATGAGACGACACAGGTATGCTTCCCAGCCTGTAAAGAGGATTGTGTCCGTGGCAATGGCGTCTGTGCATCTCCAGATCGCTGTGAGTGCAAGGCGGGCTATGAACCAAAACCAGGCTCCACTTCGTTCATGTGCCAGCCCGTGTGCAAAAACAAATGCGATAATGGCATTTGTCGAGCGCCGGACGTTTGTGAATGCAAACGGTTTTTCCACAAAGATGCTGATAAAAAATGTGTGCCTATTTGCGATCCAGATTGCAGGAATGGCAAGTGCGTTAAGCCCTCAGTGTGCGAGTGCTTGCCGGGCTACAAGGCCATCAGTCCATTCGACTGCGAGCCAGTCTGTTCCACAGATTGCAAGCACGGATATTGCAAAGAGCCAAACACATGTGCTTGTGACAAGGGATATTCAATGGAGAATGGATTGTGCACTCCAGTCTGCGATGGTGGTTGCAAGAACGGATTCTGTGAATCTCCTGGAAAGTGTTCCTGCAACGAAGGATACAGCAAGGAATCTGAGAACAGCTGTGCCCCAATTTGCGAAAAAGGCTGCAAGAACGGATTCTGTGAATCTCCTGGAAAGTGTTCCTGCAACGAAGGATACAGCAAGGAATCTGAGAAAAGCTGTGCACCAATCTGCGAAAAAGGATGTGCGAACGGATTCTGTGAATCTCCTGGAAATTGTTCCTGCAACGAAGGATTCAGCAAGGAATCTGAGAACAGCTGTGCACCAATCTGCGAAGAAGGATGCAAGAACGGATTCTGTGAATCTCCTGGAAATTGTTCCTGCAACAAAGGATACAGCAAGGAATCTGAGAACAGCTGTGCACCAATCTGCGAAGAAGGATGCAAGAACGGATTCTGTGAATCTCCTGGAAAGTGTTCCTGCAACAAAGGATACAGCAAGGAATCTGAGAACAGCTGTGCCCCAATCTGCGAAAAAGGCTGCAAGAACGGATTCTGTGAATCTCCTGGAAAGTGTTATTGCAACGAAGGATACAGCAAGGAATCTGAGGACAGCTGTGCCCCAATCTGCGAAAAAGGATGTGAGAACGGATTCTGTGAATCTCCTGGAAATTGTTCCTGCAACGAAGGATACAGCAAGGAATCTGAGAACAGCTGTGCACCAATCTGCGAAGAAGGATGCAAGAACGGATTCTGTGAATCTCCTGGAAAGTGTTATTGCAACGAAGGATACAGCAAGGAATCTGAGAACAGTTGTGCCCCAATCTGCAAAGAAGGATGCAAGAACGGATTCTGTGAATCTCCTGGAAATTGTTCCTGCTACGAAGGATACAGCAAGGAATCTGAGAACAGCTGTGCAGCAATCTGCGAAGAAGGATGTAAGAACGGATTCTGTGAATCTCCTGGAAATTGTTCCTGCAACGAAGGATACAGCAAGGAATCTGAGAACAGCTGTGCACCAATCTGCGAAGAAGGATGCAAGAACGGATTCTGTGAATCTCCTGGAAAGTGTTATTGCAACGAAGGATACAGCAAGGAATCTGAGAACAGTTGTGCCCCAATCTGCAAAGAAGGATGCAAGAACGGATTCTGTGAATCTCCTGGAAATTGTTCCTGCTACGAAGGATACAGCAAGGAATCTGAGAACAGCTGTGCAGCAATCTGCGAAGAAGGATGTAAGAACGGATTCTGTGAATCTCCTGGAAAGTGTATCTGCAACGCAGGATACAGTAAAGAATCTGAGAACAGTTGTGCCCCAATCTGCGAAGAAGAATGCAAGAACGGATTCTGTGATTCTCCTGGAAATTGTTCCTGCAACGAAGGATACAGCAAGGAATCTGAGAAAAGTTGTGCACCAATCTGCGAAGAAGGATGCAAGAACGGATTCTGTGAATCTCCTGGAAAGTGTTCCTGCAACGAAGGATACAGCAAGGAATCTGAGAACAGCTGTGCCCCAATCTGCGAAAAAGGCTGCAAGAACGGATTCTGTGAATCTCCTGGAAAGTGTTCCTGCAACGAAGAATACAGCAAGGAATCTGAGGACAGCTGTGCCCCAATCTGCGAAGAAGGATGCAAGAACGGATTCTGTGAATCTCCTGGAAAGTGTTACTGCAACGAAGGATACAGCAAGGAATCTGAGAACAGCTGTGCCCCAATCTGCGAAAAAGGCTGCAAGAACGGATTCTGTGAATCTCCTGGAAAGTGTTCCTGCAACGAAGGATACAGCAAGGAATCTGAGAACAGCTGTGCACCAATCTGCGAAGAAGGATGCAAGAACGGATTCTGTGAATCTCCTGGAAAGTGTTATTGCAACGAAGGATACAGCAAGGAATCTGAGGACAGCTGTGCCCCAATCTGCGAAAAAGGATGTGGGAACGGATTTTGTGAATCTCCTGGAAATTGTTCCTGCAACGAAGGATACAGCAAGGAATCTGAGAACAGCTGTGCACCAATCTGCGAAGAAGGATGCAAGAACGGATTCTGTGAATCTCCTGGAAAGTGTTATTGCAACGAAGGATACAGCAAGGAATCTGAGAACAGTTGTGCCCCAATCTGCAAAGAAGGATGCAAGAACGGATTCTGTGAATCTCCTGGAAATTGTTCCTGCTACGAAGGATACAGCAAGGAATCTGAGAACAGCTGTGCAGCAATCTGCGAAGAAGGATGTAAGAACGGATTCTGTGAATCTCCTGGAAAGTGTATCTGCAACGCAGGATACAGTAAAGAATCTGAGAACAGTTGTGCCCCCATCTGCGAAGAAGAATGCAAGAACGGATTCTGTGATTCTCCTGGAAATTGTTCCTGCAACGAAGGATACAGCAAGGAATCTGAGAAAAGTTGTGCACCAATCTGCGAAGAAGGATGCAAGAACGGATTCTGTGAATCTCCTGGAAAGTGTTCCTGCAACGAAGGATACAGCAAGGAATCTGAGAACAGTTGTGCCCCAATCTGCAAAGAAGGATGCAAGAACGGATTCTGTAATTCTCCTGGAAATTGTTCCTGCAACGAAGGATACAGCAAGGAATCTGAGAACAGCTGTGCACCAATCTGCGAAGAAGGATGCAAGAACGGATTCTGTGAATCTCCTGAAAAGTGTTCCTGCAAAAATGGCTACATCAAATCTTTAGAAAGCGAGTGTATGCCTCTCTGTTCCAAGGGCTGTCAGAACGGAAAGTGCGAAGCCCCCGATGCTTGCAGATGCGAAGTCGGCTTTGCCTATGATGTGGACTTAGGAGCTTGTGTGCCGGAGAAGGAAGCCTCCGAGGAACTCGTAGATTTCTCTGAGAGTAGGTGTGAGGAGTACTGCTGGAATGGAACCTGTCTAAGTGAGGAGTGCCAGTGTGGGGAAAGTTACAAGTTACATAGAGACATAGAAAACCCCGACCGATTTTTATGTCTGCCCATTTGTGAGACGGAGTGCGTCAATGGGTATTGTGAGTCCCCAGAAGTATGTGCTTGCTTCGATGGCAGTACTCCTATTTCTGGGTATTTGTGTCAATCAACTAATCCACTAGACCCATCTCTTCAAAACAGAAACCAAGAAAGTCACCTTAAGTGGCTGTTTATCGCCATTGTGATAGTTTCAACCAGTATGGCGCTGTTGATCGCGTTGTTGATGTGCTTGATATACAAGAAAAGGACATATCGAGTGGATAAAAATGGTAAAATTTAAGTTTCTATTTTTTAATGCTCACTACATGGTTTTTTTTACAGAAAAACAATTTGGTGTATACTTTTCAGCCAACAAGGCGGATATTATTCGTGCCTAATGTTTACCTCCGAAACAAGATTTCTTCCAATATTTTAGTAGATTTTTTTGAAATTAATTAGCTTTAGGCAAAGATACTTACAATAAAGAAATTTTATGAAAACTATCGCCCTGCAGGAAAATCATAATTTTCTTATATTGTCAAGTTACCCGTTTTCGGTAGGTGTTGTTAAATAAACTTCAAGCGTACGTAATCAAAACCATTTAGGACCATGCCACTTGGTTATATTAGTTTTGTCTAGCGACTAGACTTTAGACGAAACAAAAATAGGAAAAAGAAATCGAAATAGGAAAAGAAAAAGAAAGAGACCGAGTACGTCGAAAAAAAGAACCCAAGCAATTGGCTACCCAAAATGTTCAAATATGTCCAAATCCAGTTTTTGCTTCAGCCTTTGCCTCAGTTTTCGAATTTGTCAGATGGTGTCGAAGACCCAAAAAGGGCCTGCTCAGTAATTATCATAGAAATATTTTCAGGTCTTATCCTCTCATACAATCAAAATACCATAAAGTAATCAGATAAATTATATTTTCAGGCATACATGGGCTTTAAAGTTGGAGTGGTAGAATTGCAATCAAGGCTACTTCACTCTAAGTTTTAAAGTTAGTTGTGGGATTTTAGGTACTCTCTCTCCAGCTAGAAATGTACTTTTTTGGAAAAAATTTAAACAGCTGTATGATAAATAGTTGCAATGAATTTAAAATTCCATTTGGATATTTGGAATCCCATTTATTTCGTTTAATGCAACTTTTTCAAAATTTAACTAATTTTCCTGGGACCATATAATTGCTGGGGCGTGGGTATATCCTCCACAAAAAAGTTTGCAGGAATCAAATGGAATACCGTGGACATCACATCGTACAGAATATTTTCAACAGTTTCGATAATTAATGGCTTCAGTGCTTCGTAGAAATCACGCCAATTTTCATTAAAGAATTCATTAGTGCTGCGCTCGACTTCCTTACTTCGGCCATTAAATAGGTTGTCCAGGTAAGTGCGCACCCTTGTGAGATTCAGTTGCTGGACACGAACGGAGGTTACATTGTCAAAGGTGAAGCCACCTTTTTCATAGAGACGTGTTTTGGTTATCAGCAGGATATCCATATCATCTAAAGAAGAATAGGCGTTAGGTCAACCCAACGAATTTCCATTTTATTTTGTCTTTTTTCACTCACCGATTTCAATGAAAATCTTTCCGGATCCACTGAGAGGTATAAGCAGAATACGTCCAGCCATGTCATATCTACCATCTAGTCTCATTTTTGGCAAAAACAGTTTAGTTTGCCAGCCAAAATCTTTTTTGCTGACTCTAAAATGCGTATTCTATTTACAGGTGGGGTCGATCTAAGCTAGTTATCTATATTTACCGACTCTCCTTGACCTTTGTCTTTGAAAATCCTTTGACCACTAGATCGGTCAGGTTGGCTCGAATAGTGGCCACTTCGTTGTTGTCCTGTTTGAAAACAATGTCTCTGACCTTCATGGGATCGAAAGGACCGAAGCGTTCCAACACCTCCGGAATACCAATATTCAACTGATCTAGAAGTTTCTGAATGCTGTTCGTTGAGCATTTTGTAAAACCGGGTTCATAGATCCGACAAGACGGCAGAAAGTCGGCTGAGAATGGTTTTTGAACACTTTTCTAGTAGGATCCTTTGTTTTATCGAATGACTTACTTACGCTTTTCTGTATAAAAGGCAACCGCAGAGGCCAAGGCGATTCCGTTAAGGCACAAGATCACAATTATGCCAAGCGGCCTATGACCATGGCGCGTGCTGTTCATGTTGCTCAAGTGGCCCTGTATCTTGTAACTAGTATCTGAATCTAAGATTCTTACAGCCGCTGCTCAGTCACATCAATCGGTGTCAAGCTATTTGGTCGACTAGACGGTTTCTGACTGTTGGCCAGCATTTTATTCTCACCCGCCGCGATCCGAGCTATTCGAGATTCGCAGTCCGAGCTATCCGAGATTCGCAGTCCGAGATCCAACTTCGGAGTCTCTCAACATGGTAACGACTTACAACCACTTAACGATGCCGGGGCCAAGTGCAAATTGTTTCATTTTCATATTTATAAACTTTTATTTCACCTATTTCCTGGCTTAACATGCGACTATACAGCATCATTGTCTTAAGTCTAATGACAGAAGAGATATCACCGAAAAAGTTAAGTCATTTTGAGTTTTTTTTTCTAATTTTTATTGACAGTCAACAAATAGAATTGTTTCAAAGCGTAATAGCTAACCTAATTCAAGTTTCTTATAAAAAGTATAATCAAGAGGTTATTAGACTTAGAAGCCTTTATAAAATCTGATTATATTTCTTAAACCTGTTTTAAATCTTCTTAGTGAAAGTCTTTGATCAAGTAGGTGGCTGGCACGAAGTTAAATGTCTTCTTGAAGCGATCTAGAAGCACTCCCGAAACAGTTTGTTCCACGGCAGGACGTAGTACCTCGTAAAAGTCCCTCCAGTTCTCGTTGAAAAGCGTGTGGGCAGTGTCCTCCAGATCCTTGTTGCCTCCGAAAAGATTCTCCAGCTTGATGCGGAATTGTTTGATTTCGCGGAAACTAACCTTAACACTTTGCACGTCCGCGAAAATGCCTTCGGGTGATGTGCGGGGCTTCACCGCCATTTCCAAATAAATCAAAGCATTTTCTATCCAAAAAAGGGTGGTAATTATGATTCGCGAAGGTGGAGAGTAGATTTACTAACCAGATTCAAAGTAGCCCGATCCATGGCCATTAAGATTAAGGGCAACCACATGTCCTTTCACCTTGTAGTCGAAATTAAATCGCAGTTTGGGCACCGTAATCAAAGCCTTGGCCACATAGTTATTGTAACTGGAAAAGTCGGTCACGTATAGATATAGAACACACATATATTGTCCAAAAGTAAGATGTATATTTTTACCTGGCCTCCTTGACTATCGCCTGGCCAGCTCCAGCTACGTAGACCTCCTTCAGATCTGCATTAATGGCTATAGCATTGTTAGCGTCCTGCGAAAATTTCACACGCTTTATGTAGAGAGGATCAAAGGATCCCACGGCATTGTTGCCAGGAATGCCATCCTTCCACTGGCGGAAGAAAGACTGAAAGTTGCTGGTTAGGCAAGGATTATCCCCCTCTACGCAAGGTGTAAGAAAGTCGGCTAACAAAATAAAATTAGAGATTATGAAATGGAAAATTATTTATGGTAAACCTTTAAATTATTAAAATATCTTACGTTTTTCAGCTAAATACTTGGATGCTTCGCCGGCTGAAACAAATACTAATATTATGGTCAAGAACCTGGACACTTTGACGAGCATTTTGATGATTTTAAGCCGACTTTAAAACTAGAACTGTTTTCTTCAAAGGCTCTGAACTAAATGACGATTCATCCCGGGTTCTGTGTATTTTATTCGAAATGAAATGTCGAAATGTGCAATTTTTAAATCATTTCTTTGTTTCGGTGTTTTATATATTTAGTCTATATATTCCAACTCTGTTTTCGGTTTAATTAGTAAGTAAACAAGTTTGTCCGCATTAGACTTGTTGTGGTTGTCGTACAGGGTGACTTACTCAGTTTTGAGAAGTCATATGATCCGAAGCCCTAGCCTAAAATGCATTAATCTTGACATTATTACCTAGCCTTTTGGCTCGAAGCCGAATCCATTTCCAGTTGTAAGATACAAAAGTCAAATTCAAGTGTTTAAGTATGGTATATATACATGATATATGTCTAGATGGGTATCTGTGTGTTCTAGTCAGTGATTATCTCACTTAAGCGACAGCTCAACTGGTTTTCCAAGACCATTAAAAATTGTCAGGTCGTTCTGATGATAAACTGAACTGATGTATTTATTCCATTTTATAGATCGTCTTTTTGTAATTTATTTGAGGTAGGGTTGCCTTTTTAAATAGTTGCTTAGCTGTGTGAATTTAAGAAGCCCCATAATAGTAATTGTAAGCATTCGCCCATGACCAAGGTTGGACTCCTAGGGTTACTGAACTTGGATCATATCATAGAGTAATTTCGAATTGCATATATGTACTTACATACGTCACAAAAAAGCGTCATCTAAAAAAAAGCTCCTCTAAAAAAATAGAAAAGGTGTTTCATTTTAACTCAGACTGTGAGCCAGTTTGGCAACTGCCCAATTAAAAACTTGCAAATAAATAAACTCATAAATAATCATACAAAAACTCGAAAAAGTCATCGCTGATTTTAGGCACCTCTTTGACGCACAACCTCCTCCCGGCAACCTGTTTTAATGGCTGAAGCATTGGACTAGGTCAGTAGACCAGAAGCTAACTTTCGTATGGTTATTAAGTTTTTTTTGCTGGTCTTTTGTTTTTGCGCCAAGTGTTAGTTTTGGCAGACCAGGTGAAATGGTCAGGTGGTGGCCAAAAGCGGCTTAAAGTGCTCCGTTGTGGTTACAGGTTGTTACAGTGTCGAGGTAGGTTCCACCGATTAGAGCTTTCAACGAGGGGGAGCGGGTTTATTTTACATAATTGGAATGCCTAACAAGTGCAATACTTCCGTGCCAGTCAGTACTGGCATTTTGCTGAATTCTGTTCAGTTTATTTCTGGATTGTGGTTCTCTGATCTCATTGCGTATGCGTGAGCTGTGCGGTCTGGAAGCATAAATTGCTGGCCAAGATATTGAGACGGCAACTTTAATAACCAGATTGGAAATAGCTTCTAGTACAGAGAAACAAATAGCTGGATAAACAAAAAAATTGGGCTTGTAAAAATTTAAGTTTCTCAACCCTGAAAGAGCCATACATTTTTAACTCAATGTTTTATTAAATAAGAAGAATTTTCTTTAAATATTTTAACAGTATTACTTATAATTTATTTTCAGTGTTTTGGTAGCAAGTGTGTGGGTACTTGATCATGTACTCACGCCCAGCTGGCCGACGACTGCTTTCAATTTCTATGCTGCATTCCAAGCCCCCAAGTGGAATCGGTTCTCGGATCGGGAGTCCGAGCCTCGTTTCGATTTCGTTTCAGCAGCTGATCGCCGATCCAGACTTCGGCTCGGCTTCAGGTCGAAGCTTTATTTTGTATTTTGTCTGGCGTACATAGTTATTTTTTGCCGCCGCCCCCCAGGCCCCCCCCGGTGGCTCGTTTTGCGAAATGTTGCTTGTGGTATAAAAAGCGTTGCACGCCCTGATTTTCTTTCGAGTTTGTCGTTTCGATTCGCAGAGTCCCGAGTGCAAGTGCAGAGCTCATTGTCCATTCCAGCAGTGCATCTAGTTTAGTCAGAGATTGGTGAAATCGGTTCGACATTGACGGTTATTCTAAACGTTGGCAGAGAGATGAAATTGGTAAGATGGCCCGCAAGGTCGATGAAAAGTGAAAACGAACTGGAAGTATTATTGATATGTTTTAAGTTTAAACCCAAAGTGTTGATTAAAACTGCGCAGTGATTCGTTTAGAATGCAATTTAACAAACCGGTTCAGATCCAATGTCTATGATAAACCGCCACTTAATTGCTGTCCTTGAGTGATAATAGTAGCCAGTAATTGAAACATTGTATTGTGAAATGCCTGCTCCAAAAGTAAAGCAATAAAGCCCCAAACTCATTACTAATTGCAGCTTTCACAGTTAATGGGTGTGACTTGAAACTCAAAAATGGGATATGCAAATTATTCAAGTCTTTGTTTGCTTTTTGCAGCCCCTGGTTTCGGCACTTTTGCTGGTGGCGTTGGCCCACACTGCGTATGCGCAACACCAGGACTACACCACCCCAGTGCCCATTTTGAAGCAGATCGACAAGCACAACGACGACGGGTCCTACACCTATGGCTACGAGGCAGCGGACAAGAGCTTCAAGATTGAGACAAAGTACCCCAATGGCGAAGTATACGGCAAGTACGGCTATGTCGACGACCAGGGCAAGGTGCGGGAGATCGAGTACGGAGCCAGCAAGCGAGGATTCGAGCCCGCTGGAAGCCACATCAATGTGCCGCCTCCAACGCTGACCAACACCAATCCGTATCCTCTGGGACCCAACGAGATCGACGACGGTCAGTACCGCGAGGACCCTGCCGTATACTACAAGGATCAGAAGTTCAATCGTCCTCTGTCGCCAGCCAGCAAGTTCAGCTTGAATGACTTTGGACGTGGCCAGTCGTACGCCCCGAGCCCACAGCAGCAGCAGCAGCCGCAGCCACAGCCTGCCCCCCAGCGTCCTTACTATAACCCCGCCCCGCAGTACTACAACCCCCCAGCCCCGCAGCCGCGCTACTACAATCCCCCCGCCCAGCAGTCCTACTACAACCCACAGCAGTCCTACGCCGGACTCCCCAATCAACACCATCCGGCTCTCAGGAATCTCAACATCTATACGGGCTCCTACAGCATCGACTATACGGGACGAAAGTAGGGGCAAGGATCAGGGGCAACCTTTGAGTTGGGCCAGAGAGACAGCGACTGAAGTGTCCGAGGACAATGTCAACATGTTACTGCCAAATAAATCAGTCACTCCGCATATCCCACAGATATCTGAACAGTATCTACTGTTTATGTATGTTCTTCCACGTACTTTATATGTGTAATAAAACGAGTTTCCAGACACAAAGTGTTAACAGAGATCAAATGGCATTCTTTAATGGGAGAAGGTGTTTAACTTAATTGGACCCAATCTTTCAAATCAATAATTACTTAGGCTGGTAGAGAGGTGCATTTTTCTACTTCAGTGCCCAGAAGTATTTCAAGTATCTGCTTTGGCATTCAATTTAGCCAACTACCAGGTTCCGCTTCAATTAGACCGCCCCGCAAACAAAGCCCGAGCCCAGCAAGTGGCCAATAATCGTTCGGCCATTACGTCAACACAGAATGATCGAGCAACAAAAAAAATGAAAACAAAAATAAACAAAATTGAAATAAAAAACCGATTCAGTTAGAAATCCAAAGTGGATTTGCTGTTGACTTGGAATTTGGTGCACTTATGCAATGTGCTGGCCCCAAACCACTTTCAAATGCACTGCCACCAACGGCCAGACCAGTTGGCCAAAAGCAGGGCACTGTATACTGGGTGCTGCCTTGTCTTTTGGGTGTGTAGGGGCGTTTGCTGGACAGTGGCTTAGGGTTTTTTCGGGTGGTGCATAATAGGCCCCTAGTTAATCAGCTTTTCATACCTAAATTGTGATTTGATCATGTAATTTAATTGACTCTTAATAATGCTTGTGAGTTAGGGTTTTTTGGGATTAATAATGAAATCAAGTACAGCATTGTACATGAAGCTTGGATTGAATAAAGAGGCAGTTTGTGTAAATAGCACAGTTCCAAGATTAAACATCTTTAGGCCTTGGATTATTCAACAATGACAATAAATGACTAATTTCTGTGTTAGGTAAAATTTGCATTTATGTTAATATATATACATACATGTGTCTGTTCCCGACCACTGTGCATTTTGTTCAAGACAAAATCTTAAACTGTTTTACTGCTGAATCCAACGAAGAATCAAGTCCAGACTGCACCCATTATAAAAACCCATACCAGCAAGTATTAACCAACACACAGCATTATTATTTGTATTTTTTTTGCAATATTTGTATAATTTTTCAGAGCAAAAATGATTTTTCGCTACAAAACTTGCTTTTGGGGCGTTGCCATGACTCGAGAATTTCCTGCAAATTTGTCTGCTTTGTTATGGGCTGTGGATTGTGCACAGCTGCCACATTTACAGCAGCAGTTGCAACAAGCGAGCTGAAAGATACAATTGGAGGGCACACAGCCATCAGAATGTGATTGTTATGTTTGCACTACAAAAATGTGTAGGCGAAGTGGAAGCAGCTAGATGTTGGGTCCTTTTTCCAAATGCTTCAATGACTTTTGCACTTCATGCTGAATTGAATATAATTCTGCGAAAGCCAAGTTCTTATTGTGAGATGATAGTGGAAAAGGATGAATTTAAGGCAGGAAAACGTACTATACTTTCCGTATAATTTATTTGAAAAGTTAAGCCTAGAGTATCTCCGATTCGAGGCATACTTTCAAATATTTTCGCAAGCTCTTTCGACCTTGATCATGTCAGTGCGTCTACGCATGCGTACAAGTTCAGGTGCACGCCCATTAACCCCTCACTCTTTTTGTCCACAACCATAAAGCCAACCAGAAAACAAGTCTTTAAGGTGATATGTTCAGTAGAGACATGAAACCACAAAAAATAGCAATCTTACGCACTTGAAGACTGGAAACTGCCCTGCGTCATGGGCGGCACTTGAAAGTGGTTACTGGTGTGGTAGGAGGGGTCGACAGACTTGGCCTGATGGTTTCCTGGTCTGGTATGTGGTGCAGTGGGGATAACCAGTTTTGAGCTGAACTATCACTATCCCGTTGAGCTGTGGCCTGCCTTTTTGCAACGGCAACGGTGTGGTTTGAGTTTAATTCCAATGCAATGACTATGACAAGGCCGCTGGATTTTACAGCAGAGTTCTGGAGGCGAAGGCGTGGACTGCAAAACGGTGACAAGTTACCTGATTCTTTGGCAAATGAAGAATTTTCGACATTACTCATACGCCATGTGAGGCCAGCGTATACGGAAATTGTATAGAAACTCTGCAGCACTATGTTTAAGGGTAAATATTACCCATACGCCCTGTTGCACCCACTTAATATATCTTATTACAATGTTATGATTTAATCAACTCTACAGAGGGTCATTAAAATAATCTTTACTTTGCTTCAATGGACAACTGGATTTTATATTTAAAGCTTCATTCATGGAAAATATTAAAACATTTCCTTTATTGTACTGAGGTCATAGCCAAAAGAAAATGGCCAGTATTTTTGGGCCCGGCCTACACCGCCCAAATTTGCAACACTTCATTTCACTTTGTCGGCTTGTTCATTCATTAGCCGAACGGCTTTTCAACTTTGCTTCATTTTTCACAATTTATGGGCCACGCAGTTTTGATTAATTGTCGATGGCCATTGGACTTCCATCCCAGTGTTGCCTTGCCACCCAGAAGGTTAAGGCTGGTGTAAGAGTTTTTGCCCTGATTTCGAAAGTAATTTATTAAATTTGTGAGATTTGCTAAAGTGCTCAGCGATCAAGGAATTCTTAATATCACTAAGGAAACGGAAAAGCTATTTCTAAAACCAATGAAGGGGAAGATATAAAATGGTAAAATTTGTTAGAAAATGTTTAAGAATAACGTCTAAACGTTTAATATTGTTTAAAATTTGTTTAATTAAATATTTTATATTTTATAAAAAGCTTTTTAATGGCAAATGGGTTACTAAACAATATGCAAATTAATTTAAAGACACCTCTTGCTTATAAGCCCATAGATGGCTTTTCCTTTTGGTCAGGCATAGAAATGAAAAGCTTGCAAAAAGCACAGAGAGAACTATTGTGGAAGTCTCTGTTTCCAAACTTGATCCGAGCTCTCGGTCTCTCTGCGATTCTCCGTTTCTCTGGCTTCCGCTCCCCAACGACTCTCCGTCCTTTCGTTGGTGAAGTTTTGTGGTGCGGTGGCGCTGGCAGCGTTGGTATATTTTGCTGCGGTGCAGTGGTATGTGATTGGCGGCGGTGGTCCGTTATGGGAGAAATAAAAAGGTTTTCCTCGATCGGTATATAAAGCGAAATACAACAACCTGGGCGTCTCAGTTGCCGTCGGTCTTTAAGTTAATGCTCCACGCGATCACCTAGTGATCCAAAAAAAAGCCAATAAGAAAAAGAGTCCATAGCCCAAGTGGGTCCAAAGATTTGACTGAATTGTTCGAGATCCGAGACCGATCCAGTCGTCCGGTTCATTAGAGGAATCGAAATTGAAAGTGCTTTTTGTTGTCTTCGATACTTAGCTGGGTGTTGCCAGCGAAGGCCTTTTGCGATTGCGATTGCATTCAGAGTCTTTAATCGATTCGAAATAGTTCGGCGCCACCAAAAGCCAATCAGCGGTTACAATTCAACATGAAAGTGGTATGTGAGTGGGAGGTTTCAACAAAATCAAAAAGGGGCGGTCCCTGCTAGGGTCCAAATACCAAAAGGTCACACGCCTAGAGTGCCTGGGTGCCTGAGTGCGTGGCAAAAAAAATCCAGGTAATCCAGGTACTGATCTGGATGATTGCGTCATCGTCTCATTGCGGCGACGGTTGTGCAAATATCGCATAATTTGCTATGCAAATCGAGCGAACCGTTAATTTGCTCCCAGCCCGATGGCAATTGTTCAACTCCGTACAGCTAACTCGCCTGCCAGCGACATTTTCCAACTTGGCACCCAATTTGGTAACTGGATTTTGACATAATTTATGAACGAACGCAGCAGCTTCTTGGGAAAAAAAACGCTAAGATTATAAGCATAGTTCGAGAAGCGAAATAGTTGCAGGAACTTCAATCAGCACAAGTTACGTTAACAAGCTTGCTTCAATCTTGGCCAAAAACCCACAGTTCAGTTTTGGTTTCAGTCTGCTTTTTGCCCCAACCATTCGAGCGCGAAAATATCAAAGGCAAACTCTGGCTCAGTTCACACGCGGTAGTCAACTTTATGGTCAGTTACTGGTCTGCGCCTCTGGCGCACTGGGTCCCATGTGCATGTCGTCTATTCCAACAAGCCTGCACTTGTATCTGTATTCGCGTCTGTATCTGGACATGTATCGGTTCTCTGGCTACCTGTCCGTATACCTGTCCGTTTGCCTGCAATAAGCCAAGGCTGCCGAGAGCCTAGATAGTGAAAGGTCTCGGCATGCGGAATGGCCGAGCAAAAACGCCAGTGATCCAAATGCCAAAAAGGAGGAAAAACCAAAAAAACCCAGAGCCAATTCTTTGGGGCTTGTTTGCTCTCAATCCCCCTAAAAAAACACAGCTTGTCGATTTGGTAACAAGGTTCTGTGTTGACTCAATTTTCGTATGAAACGAATTTAGTGGGACAACTGATATGGAAGGGTTAACTCGATAGAAAGTGGCAGAACCTAATCATCATAAAAGCCATAAAATAAAACACCAAGATAGGACCTTAAGCCCAGGAAAGCCAAACAATTAATTTAAAAACCAGGAAGTAATTTTTAATCAAATTAAAATTTTATTCGTCGCGGGGTTTGAATGTTCATTTGCACGATAGTTTCGTGGTTAATGGAAATTATTCGAATGACATTCTTTCGGGCTGCCTTGTGCATTGTCTCAGTCAACAGGTTTTTGAGTATTTTCTTGCAAATTTCTTTGGCATTTGTGTGCCTTGAATGCATCTCCCAGCTGCAACACATTTCGGCAAGTGTGGGAACTTTTTCCGAGGCTCACATAATTTGTGTATGCCTGCCTCTTTCTGGTTTTTCCTTCTTCTTTTGGCTGCTGGATTACCCAATTGCAGCTGCTATGTGCGGTCTGTGTGGGAGTTAGTTCACTGGCCAACGATAATTGGCATTCCCCCAGGCCCCCAGGCATCCAGGCCTCCAGACCCCCTGACATCTTCGCCAGCATTTCTCCATTTGATTAAAAGCCCATCCATGCCAATCCACTTGAACTGCCATATCGCGTGTCACTGGTATTGGGTTTTGAACTGGGCTCTCTGGTGCCTTTAGCTCGGGCTTTATGCAACTTCACACTGAAGATATAACTAAATACATAAATATATATGCAACTTAGTATAGGTTCCTGCTTGGCATTGAGGGTGTCATTGGCCGGCGGAAAAAAGTGAAAGGCAGCCCAGCAACGGCTGGCTTAAGACGTTTGTAGACGTCTGGTATTCTTGGGACCAGACACACAGACACATTGTCAAGGTGTTGGACTGTCCGGCTGAGTTACAAATCCAACCTTTCCGGCGGGACAGGCTGCAATTAGCGAACCGGTTGCCATCACCCCTGTAAACGGAACGTTTCCTTGCAGCTGCAACGAGTATTCTTCGTGGGCTGCCTGCTCGTGGGAGTGGGCATATCGAGGGCCCAGGACTACCAGGACTATCAGGAGAACACCCCGCGAACAGCTCCACTGCGATTGCGAACAAACTCAGCTCCTGCCCTGGTCGAAAGAGCCACACCAGTGCCAATTCTAAAACAGATCAACAAGTAAGTAAAATTTATTTAATAAATCCTTCACATAATACAATCGCAATCTTGAATTAGTCTTCTGTTTGGAGACTAATTAATCTTCATAGATTGCCTTTGGTTAATTGTTTTTTAATACGACTAGTAATCATTAATCACTTGGGGAATTATCGTCCGCTAGGCACAACGAGGATGGCTCGTATACATATGGGTATGAGGGCGCCGACGGCTCCTTCAAAATCGAGACCAAACTGGCCACCGGCGAGGTCAAGGGCAAGTACGGCTATGTGGATGAGACCGGAAAGGTGCGAGTTGTGGAGTACGGTGCCAACAAGTACGGATTCCAGCCCTCCGGAGAGGGAATCACTGTGGCACCACCCACTCTGGTAGATGAAACAGCTAAGGAGGAGCCGGACTATGCAGATGAGCCCGTCCCTCAAAGGCCCCAGAAACCATACGTAAGATTCAAACGAAGTAGGCATGCTTTTTTTATTATCCTCTTGTTTTTTAGCGCGTTCAGCGTCCTCAGCCGCGCCCCCAGCCACGCCCTCAGCCGCAGCCACAGCCCCAGTACGTACAATATGAGGAGGAGGAGGAGCCACCACGTCGAGTGCAGTACGCACCTCAGCCTCAGCCCCAGCCACAGCCACAGCACCTGCCACAACCACAACCGCACCACCAACCGTCGGTGGGTCCGGCACCACCGCGCATCCAAATTGCCGGCGCCCAACGCACCACTGACGTTCTGTATTCGCCACTTCAGCGTCCTGCTCGTCCTGAACCTGATTACTCGCAGTCCCAGAGCTTCGGCGACGGACCTTCCAATGTGCGGATTTCCCGTCCAGTCTACGCCCTGCCCCCCGCATCCCCAGCTCCGAGCAGCGCTCGGGCTCAGGGCTTCTTGGCACCCGCTTCCGGCGGACGTCCCCTCCTAGAGCCGGTGGGCTTCGCTCCTTCTCCGTCACCGCCCGCGCGTCCCGTGCAACAGAGCTACCAGCCTCAGCCACAGGCCCGCAGTGGCGGTGGTGGTGCCAGCCTTCTGGATCAGCTGGCCAGGGACTACGCCCTGCCCCAGGGCAACGCCCAACCCCTCCACGATATCACCTTCGGCTATTATTGAGCCACATAGTCCCCGAAATCTCCTAAATAAACCTCCAGAGATTCCTTGCTTTTAGATCCTAATCGCACTGGTGGGCTCTGCCCCTCAGATATGTATAATACAAATTCCCCATTAATAAATGAGATTATTCAATGGTGGAGTGATTGATATTTCACAATCCTACCCAAACAAAATCAACTCTTAATTATTTTGAGTAAAACCATGTTTTATTTTCGGGAGCATTTTAGTAAGCATTTTAGTCGCAGAAAAGACTTCGATAATATTCCTCTATTATTCGTTGAAAATTGTTAAAATCTACAAGCTTGTATTAAGCTTTGGAAATTTTAAATGTGTTAAAGTGTGTTAAAAATGTCCAAGTATGTTTTTATACCCTTGCAGAGGGTATAATAATTTTGTCCAAAAGTGTGCAACGCAGTGAAGGAGACATCTCCGACCCTATAAAGTATATATATTCTTGATCAGGATCACCTCCTGAGTTGATATGAGCATGTCCGTCTGTCCGTCTGTCTGTTTCTACGCAAACTAGTCTCTCAGTTTTAAAGCTATCGACTTGAAACTTTTCACACACCCTTCTTTCCTTTGCACGCAGTATATAAGTCGGAAAGGCCGGGATCGGCCGACTATATCCTATAGCTGCCATATAACTGATTGATCGGAAATGGTATAACTTTGGTGTTTTTAGAGTTAGAGAGTTCAAATTTGACATGAGAGCTATTTTTGGCAAAATAATACGACATGCCAAATTTCATAAGGATCGGCCGACTATATCCTATAGCTGCCATATAACTGAACGATCGGAAATGACCCAACTTTCGTGTTTTTGAAGATAGAAAGCTGGAACTTGGTACACATTCTATTTTTGGTCAGTTAATCCGATCTACCAAATTTCAAACCGATCGGTTGACTATATCTTATAGCTGACATATAACTGAACGATCGGAAATGGTATTTTGTAGAAATATCAACATTCGTATTTTTGAAGATAGAAGCTTGGGACTTTTTTTTAGATTTTTTATTGTAAGTAATTGGTTTTATTATGTTGTAATCATAAGGATCGGCCAACTATATCCGATGCTTGCGTTATATATCCGGTTTTAGCTGCAAGGGTATATCAACTTCGGCTCCGCCCGAAGTTAGCTTTGCTTTCTTGTTACACTTTCTTTTTATAAAAAGGTGAAGAGTAAATATTAAGTAAGGAATGAAATGACCGCCTAATGATTTACATTTGTATTATAAATATTGTGGTATACTTCGCGGCATATAAAAAAAATATACCTTACAGTTTTTAACAGTAGGCCTGTAAATAAATAAATAATTAATTTTGTTTATAGTTTTAACATTTTAAAATTCTAAAGTTAACAGTCATACAAAATATTTACCACAGCTTTTTATTCGATTTACCTTATTTTTGTTTATAAATTAAATAATCAAATAGTTTTATCTAGTAGAAACTAACTACATTCATTTAATGTTACATTTTTTTAAGCTTTCTTTTAGGCTCCTATGTTTTCACCCTATCAAAGACAAAAATCCTTGAAAGTTTAAGGCCTTTTTATACCCTTGCAGAGGGTATTATAATTTTGTCCAAAAGTGTGCAACGCAGTGAAGGAGACATCTCCGACCCTATAAAGTATATATATTCTTGATCAGGATCACCTCCTGAGTTGATATGAGCATGTCCGTCTGTCCGTCTGTCTGTCTGTCTGTTTCTACGCAAACTAGTCTCTCAGTTTTAAAGCTATCGTCTTGAAACTTTGCACACACCCTTCTATCCTTTGCACGTAGTATATAAGTCGGAACGGCCCGGATCGGCCGACTATATCCTATAGCTGCCATATAACTGATTGATCGAAAATGGTATAACTTTGGTGTTTTTAGAGTTAGAGAGTTCAAATTTGACATGAGAGCTATTTTTGGCAAAATATTACGACATGCCAAATTTCATAAGGATCGGCCGACTATATCTTATAGCTGCCATATAACTGAACGATCGGAAATGACCCAACCTTCGTGTTTTTGATGATAGAAAGCTGGCACTTGGTACACATTCTATTTTTGGTCAGTTAATTCGATCTACTAAATTTCATAACGATCGGTTGACTATATCTTATAGCTGACATATAACTGTACGATCGGAAATGGTTTTTGGTAGAAATATCAACTTTCGTATTTTTGAAGATAGAAGCTTGGGACTTTTTTATACCCTTGCAGAGGGTATTATAATTTTGTCCAAAAGTGTGCAACGCAGTGAAGGAGACATCTCCGACCCTATAAAGTATATATATTCTTGATCAGGATCACCTCCTGAGTTGATATGAGCATGTCCGTCTGTCCGTCTGTCTGTTTCTACGCGAACTAGTCTCTCAGTTTTAAAGCTATCGTCTTGAAACTTTGCACACACTCTTCTTTCCTTTGCACGCAGTATATAAGTCGGAACGGCCGGGATCGGCCGACTATATCCTATAGCTGCCATATAACTGATTGATCGGAAATGGTATAACTTTAGTGTTTTTAGAGTTAGAGAGTTCAAATTTGACATGAGAGCTATTTTTTACGACATGGTATTACGACATGCCAAATTTCATAAGGATCGGCCGACTATATCCTATAGCTGCCATATAACTGAACGATCGGAAATGACCCAACTTCCGTGTTTTAGAAGATAGAAAGCTGGAACTTGGTACAGATTATATTTTTGGTCAGTTGATCCAACCTACGAAATTTCATTAGGATCGGCCGACTATATCTTATAGCTGCCATATAACTGAACGATCGGAAATGACCCAACTTCCGTGTTTTAGAAGATAGAAAGCTGGAACTTGGTACAGATTATATTTTTGGTCAGTTGATCCAACCTACGAAATTTCATTAGGATCGGCCGACTATATCCTATAGCTGCCATATAACTGAACGATCGGAAATGACCCAACTTTCGTGTTTTTGATGATAAAAAGCTGGCGCTTGGTACACATTCTATTTTAGGTCAGTTAATCCGATCTACCAAATTTCATAACGATCGGTTGACTATATCTTATAGCTGACATATAACTGAACGATCGGAAATGCTAATTGGTAGAAATATCAACTTTCGCATTTTTGAAGATAGAAGCTTGGGACTTTTTTTTAGATTTTTTATTGTAATTAATTGGTTTTATTATGATGTAATCATAAGGATCGGCCAATTATATCCGATGTCTGCGATATATATCCGGTTTTAGCTGCAAGGGTATATCAACTTCGGCTCCGCCCGAAGTTAGCTTTGCTTTCTTGTTTAAAATAACACCCACAAAAGGTGTCTCCTATTAAGAACATTCGAGTTTTGTATTTCTTTTTTTATACCCTTGCAGAGGGTATTATAATTTTGGTCAAAAGTGTGCAACGCAGTGAAGGAGACATCTCCGACCCTATAAAGTATATATATTCTTGATCAGGATCACCTCCTGAGTTGATATGAGCATGTCCGTCTGTCCGTCTGTCCGTCTGTCTGTCCGTCTGTCTGTCTGTTTCTACGCGAACTAGTCTCTCAGTTTTAAAGCTATCGTCTTGAAACTTTGCACACACCCTTCTTTCCTTTGCACGCAGTATATAAGTCGGAACGGCCCGGATCGGCCGACTATATCCTATAGCTGCCATATAACTGATTGATCGGAAATGGTATAACTTTGGTGTTTTTAGAGTTAGATAGTTCAAATTTGACATGAGAGCTATTTTTGGCAAAATAATACGTCATGCCAAATTTCATAAGGATCGGCCGACTATATCCTATAGCTGCCATATAACTGAACGATCGGAAATGACCCAACTTTCGTGTTTTTGAAGATAGAAAGCTAAAACTAAATACAGATTATATTTTTGGCCAGTTGATCCAACCTACCAAATTTCATTAGGATTGGCCGACTATATCCCATAGCTGCCATATAACTGAACGATCGGAAATGGTATAATGGTAGAAATATCAACTTTCGTATTTTTGAAGATAGAAGTTTGGGACTTTTTTTAGATTTTGTATTGAAATAAATTGGATTATATATTCCTATTCCCATAAGGATCGGCCAACTATATCCGATGTTTGCGATATATATCCGGTTTTAACTGCAAGGGTATATAAACTTCGGCTCCGCCCGAAGTTAGCTTTCCTTTCTTGTTTTTATTCTTTTTTAAAGTTCTCATAGCTTTGATTCCCCCTTGCAAGCGATACAATAAAACTCGGCACAAAACCAATTGTTATTCAACGATTTATTTAATTTAAATACTTAAATTTAGGCATGGGGAAGATTAAATTTATGGAAACTTATGCAGTTCTTGTGACACCCACTGGAGGTCGGTTCTTCAGATCGGATTCGAAAAATGTTTTTGGACAATATCTGACAGGGTGACAGCAGATAGATTCGGAATAGGCAGGAACGGTTTTTGACTAACTCTAGGATACGTGAAGATGGACTGTGCTGTTGACGAAATGGGCAGTGGTCCACAGCTTCCTTTTCGTCCTTTTAATAAAATTGCTTTACTGATGATAGACTGGAAAGAGAGCGGTGAAAGGTGAGAATGTGTTCCGGTCTGATTGTTCAGTGGTGCTACAACAGAAGATTGTGGGGGTGCATGAAGAAAAAGTAAGAGTGGTGGTGCTGGGGATTTAATTTTTTTTGCATGCTGTGCTGAATGCAATTCTGTGGCCTGCTCTGTTTATTGCCAACAAGTGGGTTGGGAAGCTCAATAAATAATTAATTACGATAGCGATAACGATAACGAGAACATAAATAAGTTAGGCGTAAATGCTGAAAATGACTTAGAGGGCTACTGCTAGAAGCTACGAGGAATAACCCTAGACTTCCAGCAGTCGGTTGAACATCAGGGGATCCTGAATCTCGTAGTCCTGCTGCCGGAAGACCCGTTTCGCGTGCTTGGAGCTCGGTGCCACATGACGGCGCACCTTGTAGCCGCCGTGGTGTGGGCCGGGTGGTGCACTGTACACGTACTTTGACTTCTGCACCACTGGAGGCAAATACTGGAAGGGTGCATGCGGCTGCTTGTGCACCTGCTTCTCAATGGAGTATATCGGAGCACTGCTGCCGTTGTTCCCTCTCCTCTTGGCCACCTCCAAGGCGGCTATGATTGGGCTGAGGTCCTTTAGAGCGTTGTTCTTGTTAGCATGGTAGTTCTCCACCCGGTAGTCGTTGGCAGCCGGGGGAGGGGGTGGTGGAGGTGGAGCAGCAGCTGCTGGCGGTGGGTAGTCGTAGCCCTCGTTCGGATGCTTCTGAATATACAGCTCCTCGGCAGTAGGTCTCTTGGCCATTTGGTGGTACACATCCGCCGGACTCTTAGCGGCGGGATTGTAGGCTGCGGTTATTGACTCAGTGTGCGACAGGGACTCCAAAGTGCCCAGATTATTGGGCAGCGGCAGGCCGTAGCTGTTGTAGACCTCTGCCTGCTCCAATCCAGTGCCGGTGGGCACATTTCCAGTGTCCAGGGCCACAGTTTTGGAGGCGGTGTACTCCGTTTTTCCGTTGGGCAGCAGGCTGAGGATCTCCTGCAACTGGTTGGCCGCCTTTCGGGCCTCATCATCCGTCAGCTTTGTGTGGCGGCCGTAGATGTTGAAATCATTGCTGTTGGCACTGGCCGCTGCCGGTGGTTGTATCGAGTGGGTGGATATGTGTGGTGGTGGTGTTGTGGTTTGTTGTTTGTAGTTGTGGTTTTTGTTGTGGTGGTGTTTGTATGCAATGAGTGAAATTTTATTAGATTTACCAAATTAAATATTTGCATTTTTGCGTTGAGGTATTTACACTCGAATGGATCTGTTTATGTAAGTGTTTTGTTATTTCACAGAGGAAAAATACATCAATACTTGAGCGTTTAGGATTTTATGAAAAATAAAAGCATTTCCTCTGTGCAATATTGGTAAGGTGTTAAATGGTTTTAGTTTTACTTTTTCTTTGTACAAATGATTGTTTACACGTTTTATACACACTTGGGCCGTCGTCAGGATGATTTTTGTGATGATCTTGGATGATATCCGGTTTTAGTTTTGGTTAGCTGCATGAAAGTCTAAAACATTGCTTAGCCTATCCGAAACTTCTTTTTGAAGGTTTTCGCTGGGCTGTTTAATGGGCAATTGGCTACATACGTATACGTTATATTATCAAGTATGCGAAATGTTGCCACTGCGAATGGCCGTACAATTATTTTATCTAAGGATATTATCTAATATTTGATGGATAATGGATTATTAAATAAATAAATAACTATGTGTATGTGCATGGAATCAATTATTTTTCTGTTACGCAATGTGCTAAAAACTCGAATAAATTTTGTTTGGAAATGTGTCATTGGACACATCAAGGCACTAGCTCGGAAAGAGAGAGATCTCGACTGGTGGTGTTAATATTTACAGTATTTACAATGTCTCTGCGGGGATTGTGCTGCGTCTTCACAAATTATGAGCAACTGATGGTGATGCTTTCACTTTCCTCTTGTTGGCAGTAACGTGCGGAAATGAGACGAGAGATGTCGGTAAGGGCCACCAAGGGGCAGGGCTGGTGGTGCTGACTCGAGGGTGTGGCAGAAAGTATGCAAATGGGATTGAGTGATTTGCGATTGCGGACTGATGAGACAAGTCAACTATTGTCATTATAGTTTTTGTTAAGATAGTGCCAAGTAACGTCTTGAGTAAAATCTTGTGGAAAGGTTTACAAGCTACAAGTTTGTGTTACTTATAATATTTAGGCAAAAAATCTACTTGAAAAAACTTTAAATATAATTAAATATGTAACAAATGTATTATAAAAAAAATCTGCCTGTTTTCTATGATACATTTACTTGTGCCTGAAGATTTCGTTAAAAAATAAAGGAGTTTTGTGCCAAAATTTTAATGAAAATTATTTAACTAAAATGATTAAATTAACAATTAGAAGGCCTAAATTATTACTTATATTTCTTACAGAAAAATCTAATTAAATTTTTATACAGTTCGTACAGTACAGTACTGCTTATATCTAATATTTAAAGCTAAATGAGAATATGTACAATATGATAAATATTTCAGAAGAAACTCGACACCACGGTTAGCTTTCTGGGAATGGGAATTAAAGAAGTAATTATTTACAAAAGACCCACAACCGATGAAGAACCAGTTAGACCCGGGGGGAGTACGCACCATCTTGTCCATAGGCCGATGGCAGGTAATTGCTGGGCGGTGAATCGAAGGCCGCCGGGTGGCTGATGCTGAAGGGAACTCCACCGCCGCTGCCTCCGCCGTAGCTGGCACCGCCCACGGGCGGCAGGTACTGGTGTGTGGCGCTGCTGTAGGACGGCGGCTTCGACGGCGGACCGTAGCTGGCGTGGCCGGTTGGGATCTCGTACGTGGTGATCGCTGCAATGAGAAAAAACGCAGAGTCGGTAAGCCAAAATGGGACACTGAGGCTGCAGAGGCAACAGCAGTCGAAAGACGGAACGGGTTGACGGCGAAAAAAACGAAAGTTGCTAGCCAAGTTCAATGCTCGCTTCACGCTCCGATTTGGCTGCTGGTTTCAAACTGAGTCGGAGCTGGAAGTTGTCTCTTCCGTTTTGGCCGGGGAACAGTATTGGTTATTAGGCGGTTTAATTGTTATGCATCTAGTTCAGTAACTGCATTGCATAATCCAATGACAATGGTCGCGAACTTTATGGCCTATTGGACGCGGTTTCGAGCACTCATGAATATAGTTGAAAATAAAAGATGTTTCGAGGCCAAATAGGTTTGGAGACTAGTTCATTGTAGTCCATATTATTTCCGTGTGTACTTACTTTCAGTGTGAACTACAGGACTCGGTGACTTGTGACCGCTGCTGCCGCCCGAGGAGGCGCCGGACAGGGAGCTAAGCTTGGCGAAGAGTCCGCCGCCGCCGGAGGAGTGACTAGTGGCGTAGGTGTGGGAGTTGATGTGCGCCGAGTTGATGATGGACTTGCCCACGTCCGTGACCTTGTCACCGCCGGCAGCCACCAGGTTTCCTCCCGCACTCAAAGCATAGCCGCTGCCCTTGATCAGCTGACCCTTGAGAGCGGTTACTCCACCTGTAATGGCCTTGACCGCCTGGAAAATGGTGTTCAGGACGGACTTCTTAAACGACCACGGGTCATAGTCCACTGAGTTGCCCTGGGAATAAAGAATAAGTGTTACAATATAAAAATAACTTACAATTTTCAATTTCAAAAATATTTCACTTCTTTAACTGAACATGTTAAGTCAATTACTATTTCTTATTAAAAGTCATGGAACCATATTCATTTTCTTTAGAGGAATTTCATTTTCTTTAGAGGAATTGGGTAATTTTGTCAAAAATTGAATATCATTAAACTATAATCTCAGAGGCTTGTATTTTTCAATGAGAAATGTGATGAATCTATATAATTTCATCATAATGATCCATAATGAATGCTTATAAATATAAATTGACTTTCTATTGAGGCGTTTTAAATTTCTGGTTAACTTTTGAATGAAAACCACTGGATATCTTCAACTCGAGGTCAAATTAAAAAAGGGGGGAGTCAGCTGGAAAATCGGTCCGTGAATATGCGGTTTACAACTTACATGGACAACAATCTCGTGCGACTTGTAGCTATCCCCCCCGCCACTGCTTCCGCCGGAACTGCCTGAGGCTATCGAAGCGGAGGCCTGGCCAATTCCGGACAACAGGCCGGACTTCAGGTGCGCCACGTAATCGAAGCTACCGGATCGCTTTTGCACCTGCGATTCCTTAACACTCTCACCGGGCTCGTTGTCCAGATCTGTGTCCTCCAGCGAGAGCGATTTTTCCGCGGCTGTGGCAGCGGGCAGGGCGTGACACATCAGGGGCAGTGTAGTGGCCACCAGCAGAAGACTCAGACCAAGTACCTATTTGTAAAAAGATAGACAGGCATAAATAGACAATGAGTTTTGGTTCGAACTATACGTGACAGCGCCAACAATGCCCATAGAAAATGTAGAAAATTAAATTGCCAAAATGTGTCACTTGCGGTGGTTGCACCACCATTATCCATTTACCCAGTTGCCTCATCTGTGCATTCATTTGTCAACTGTCGCACAACCATGGTAGATACCACGCACACACAATCTGCAATCATAATCTGCCACTTAGTACGGAGCATTTTGGCAAAATCAGTTACAACTACATACGTTTGTAACTCGTAATCCTAGCTACGAATATGCCAACCCACAAGCTCCCCCCGCCTTGGCCCCATGGCTCGGTTTACAGTTGAGCGAACTTAGCCTAATTGCACAAACTTAACTTGGCCAAACGGGATACGGTTAGTTTCTCCTGTGACTTGGGGCGTCGCACCGATTTTGTGCTCGATTAATCCGCCAATAGCTGCTTCATCAAATTAATTACTGTGCGAATGGAAATGTCTTCATTAGGGTACGGGAAATAATCCCTAACTATTTAATCTCAATTTTTGATCGGTTTCCAAGCTAAAATAATTTCCTATCATTAACTTCAATTGAACACTTAAATGCTAGGCCAATCATTGGCAAATATTTTTCGATATATCATTACCACGGCTTAAGTCATTTGTGCAATCCACTTACTCATAAATAATAAGAAATAATATCTTAAAATTGAACGGAAATCGGGTCAGTAAATCTTGTTGAGAAACATTCAATTATGGTTATTGATACATTTTTGACAAATGCGTTTTAAATTATTTTTTATTTGGGTTAAAGTGGAGCCGCCCCGAAAAATATTAATTAAATTGGCGGCCTTTCTCCTGCGATGGCGTAACCTCAATTATGACGGGCCAAATATATATAGTATATTGGATGCGAGTTTGTTTGTTTTAGCCATGGCCGGAACAATTAAACCACTGCAATCTGCATACAAACGCACCAATTAATTGAAACCAAAACTGTTCTTCGTTTCGTGATTGCATAAGTTGAAACAGTAGTGTGCATAATAATAATTAATGAAAGTGTATCTGCTTTGGTAGCTAGGTTCGGCGAAAAACAATTATTATTTATTGAGCAATTAAACGAATGCAATTTTAGTGTGGAATTCGGTTGAATTTAATGGACTGGACTTTGCGTTTTTGGCCCCCTGAACTATTGGCCAATATTTGCCAAAGCCATTTCCCTAGCTTCCCATGATTGGTCTTTGTTTTTTTCAGCAGTTTGTCAACAAAATTTATTATTTTCTTTTTTTGCTTGCTCATTGTTATGGCCAATATTTTGTCGGGCCGAGACTTAGAGTGAAAGTATTGTATTTGCCGGCTTAGTGGCCCCTACACTCTCAACGCGGCTCAAGCAATCTCGCTCTCTTTTTCTGTGTTCACATTCAATTAGCATATTGACTATTGCTGACTTTTCGATGGGCTGAAAATACATTGATATATTAATGATCTATACACCTGAACAAGGTGAACTACGGGGATTTCCTTTAACTATGAACGCGCAATTAATTGCGGTAGGTTCAGTTTTGGACTCGTTTATTATTTTTACGTGTGTCTCGTCTCAGCTGGCTGTCTGCGTCTCTACCTGAACTTCATTCAAATTTCTTCACGATTTTCGAAAGCAAGCCCCTGATATACCCACGGACAAGTAGAAGCCAGCTGGTCTGACATAATAATTATGCATGATATTTTTTATAGCATCACACTCGGTCAAATATAAGTGGGGCTTCTGGTGCGTATATGACATAAGGTTCCAACTGAATGAAGGTCTTCGAAGCATTATCGGATTGTTATTGGAGTGCATCAATTGGGATTTTTGGGTTATCCATAGATTACATAACGAAAGCATCTCCACTTTGGACGAGGGAGCGTGATAGTCATCACGCAGCTGGGGCGCTTAGCTAATATTGTAAGGTAAGCGATGTGTGGCCAACATAAAACGGGTTTCGCTATTCGCAGAGAATGCCTTGCACTTGAACTTGTTTTGTGCAAAAGAAGTTGCATAAACGAGATATTGCAATATAGCGATAAGTCCATTTGCACCAATTAGTCCACTAACACGATCAACTTTCTCTGCGGCATCCTTTGACTCACCTTCATTTTTGAGTTGATGTGTTTGTGGCTGGATTAGCTTCAATTGGGCCTTGGATTAGCTGGGCGGCTAATCAAGATCAAAATTCACTTTTACTGATGACGTCTGTGGGCTTCTTTGAGTATATTTTAGTACTCCGTGTCTCCGTCTCCGCTTCACACCAACTTTCTTCACTTTGCCAATTGCAATTGGCCCTCGGCACAGCACTTTTGATTTTGGTGTTTTCGATTTCGAACCGTTTCGCTTTACGTTTGTTTTGTCATCGGCATTCGTTCCAGCCAACCGATGTTTCAGCGGTTTCTGAGCGCACACAAAAATTTCACTCGCGACTTTCTTTCACCGATTCGAATGTCTGGCTTGGGGTCCCTTCACGGCAACATCTGAGCTCGAACTGTGCTCGAAAACCGTCTTGGTCGGCTCTTTTAAAGAAAAAGCCAGAGAGTGCACTTTGAGCGCTTTTTGGGGCTTTGTTGTGTTGCTCTTCGCGGTCCCCAAAGAGTTTTACCGTCTCTTCGTTGCTCTTTCGATGTTACAATTTATCTTATGTCTCGGATTTTACTTTATTTTTGGCAGCCTATTGCCGACATTTGCTTCACTTGAGCTTGACACCTCGGAGGAGTGTGGGGGGTGGCGTGTGCTGTTGAAACTGAGGCAGGCTTGTGGCCATAAACGCGTAGTGTGTGGTATGTGTGTGCTGGTGGGTTCAATGCGTTTGAAGTGGCATCGGCCACATGTGGCAATCTGGAAACTGCAATGCGGCTCATTAAGTTTGGTGCCCGAAACATGTTCGACTGCAGCAAAAAGTAACGAAATAAAACAGCACCGATGACTTTGTTTTTTGACATGGCCCAATCGAAAGACTGAGGCAACGAACTTAAAATGGAGTGATCGTCGCAGTTAAAGAAAAAGTCTGCTGTGAAGCAAGGTCTAGTTAGGTGCGAATATTATTCTTGGGTTTTAAATGCCAACTAAATGCAATACTTTAAAATTGAAGACATGCAACTGCAATCGGACTTAGAACACGAACTTGATACTTTATTCCAAGGAACGTTAAAGAAGATGTTCGTCTTGCTTAAACAACTAAATTGTTCAGTATTTTTTAAAACAAATAAGTTTTTCGATTGAAAGAATGAGGAAACAAACCCAAAATCAAGTGATAGGTAATAATCGTTATTGGAAAAGTGAAGATGATTAAGCCAAATATTATTCTATTCATTTTATTATATTTAGTTAAGCTAAATATCATTCGGAATCGATATTGAACTTATTAAATAGAATACAAAGAAAATGAAGCAATTCTTTGGAGTTTTGTAAATTCAGAAATCGAAGATTCCTGTCATTTATTATACAATTCACAAAGAAAGATTTTAGACTCTTGAAAACTATAGGAGAAATAGTTTTATTTAGTTTTACATTTTAGCCTTGTTTGTATAAAAAACATTCAATGTAAAACCAATGAATAGCGTAAAATATTCTTGACCCAGTGTCGTCTTGATCCAATATCTTAACCTCCTCTTGGGGCAACAACCTTGACCTTAGACAAGTTGCCTGATCAACGCCCTATTAGGCTACAGGCTTAAAATTTTAGGTGGAGACAACACAGCAGCCCAAAGCAAACTCGAGGGCAGCCATTATCTAATGTTGCGACAAATGGTTGCAAGTCAACATTGGTCACGACTCTCGAGGAAAGTTCACTGTCACTATGTCAGAAGCAGTTCATTTGTAAACGCTCCAAACAATTAAGCCGAACAAAGCGCAGGAAAACAATGGCAGTTACCAAAATAGATCCAACTCCGGTCTCTGGTGACAATGCCGAGTTAAGTGAGTTAGCCGCCGTCCTACGCAGAGACCCGTCTCGCGCCTCCCCTGCCCATCCCTTCCGAGACTGCGGTTATCTAACCGAAAGTGAAACGGGCCCGGGCAGACCAACTGCCATTGCAACTGCCAACTGAAGTTGCAACTGCAACTGCATAAATGCAAAACTCGAAACGAGCATGCAGAAAACTTGGCCCAAACATAATACTTAAGCGCTCGTAGTTAACAAACTGTAAATTTGTTAAACAGCAAAAAGAAAACAACAAGAGGGAAGGCAAACAGCAGTGCAATAAACGAAAATGAAAATAAGAAGAAAAGTCAGCACTCATGTAATAGCCACGAATATATACTAATGGGACATTGTAATTGCTATTGGGGGCGGCATTTCTGGCTATAACGAGGCTTAATGCTGTGAGTTAAAAGGAGTGGGCTTTGAACAATTTTGGTAGGTCCTAAGTTTAAATAAACAATTTAATTTTAAATAAAAAACTCTAACTCAGCTTTAAGTTTTCCTATGTTTTCTCAGATTTATTAATGCTATTTGTATATGGCCACTGTTTATTGGGTTGTCAACTTGAGGAGTTGCCTTGGGAGTTGTAAACGTTTCTGTGCTTTGGATAATTTGTGGTTAAGTTAATTTCCGTGGAACTGGCAATGTGGCCATTCAGTTCAGGTTGAATGCACAGAAAGTGAATTGAATTCAATTAAACTATTTTACCGCACCCACCATTGCGTATACGCCATGGTTACCACAAAAAATATTATACAAATTGATGACAAACCGACGATAACCGGTCGAATTTATTGCAGGAAGGAAGTCACTCTCAGCTCAAAACATACAATTTATGGATACAAGTGGTAGATGAAATCAACGATTACATTGCATTATTGTTATAATTCAAATATATTCAAGTATGTGAGCCCAGTGTCCTCTTATAAATAAATATTAAGTGTTAAGCTTCCTGTCATTGTGCCGGAGATCGGGAATTTATATCTCCCTCATCAGTCAGCCAAAGTCCGAGGCCAAATATACATGTGCTTTTAATTTTTCACTCACTTTTCACGGGTTTTTCTTGGCTACTTTTTTGTTAATTTTTTTTTGGCTTTTTAATTGACATGAGGCAATTGCCACGGAGCAGGCAAAAAAAAATAAACAAGCCACATGGCTGTGTGTTGGAAAGAGTTTTCAGAGTGTAACGTGAAATGCGATAACAGGCCGCTGCGCATTGGGAAATGCTAGAAAAGCCAGCAAAGAGTCCACTCCACTTCCTCGACTTCCTGATGAAGTTTTTTTCGTTTTTATTGTGCTTGTTGCTGCGGCCGGCCGCTCGTTTGTTGCGCAATGAACTTCAACTTCAAATTTTCGCAAAAGTTTCGCTGCACCCGGCGACAAAATGTATTTGGAACCCATATCGGAAACGAACTCGTTTTTGGCACTTTCTGGTCGATTTCTATAATCTATTTTATTTGGTTTTTTTCGGCGGAAGTTGCACCGCATAATTCGATTTGCTTTATAGCACCGACAGGCTCTGGATATGGATATGGGCAGGGAACGCTAGCTAGCCAGTTAACCCCCCAGAAAAGTGAAAGCCCGCTAGGCATTGGATCAATATTTGCTCAGCACTTCAACATGGGACCATCTCCATCTGCATTTCATCCCCCCACCCATCAAAAAATATAAAAAATAACACATGGAATTATGGCTGTGATGCAATCGAATCGGCCGACAAATTGTGTTTCAACAACAGCTGCTGCTCCGGACTCGTCCTGGTTTCCCGTTTGCGATTTTTTCATTTTTATTTTCGAGACGAACGCATAAGAAATCTGTTAGCGTGCTGTGCTGTCATGGCTGAAATTGCATTTGCCAAACTGTAAAGTGGTGCGTCCACATTTTGCTCAGGTGCCTCTTTTTAATTGTTGTCAGTGGAAAATATTTTATTGAATGTGCAATGCAATTTCATTATTAATTCAGACAGTTACACACACATGCATGCACAAGCTGTCATTAAATGTATTTCACCATTTTCTCGTTAACTTGACCCCAGTGAATCGCTTGACTTGGCCTGACTTTTCGACCATCCTCGCCCGATTGGCCAACCTTGGAGCAACTGACCTAGGGCTCCCTGGTCATCAGACGAGCGGGACCATTCAAGGTGCCACATCGATAAATGAGTAGCTTAAATAGAGCAGTTTCCTTGCCAATTAATACCTATTAAGTAAAGTGAATCAAGTCATAAAGGAAAATTGCGTCTAATTTACCTTAACGTCCGGCACACGCATTTTTATTGGGATTTTTTCTTAGATGCTTAGTAGACATTAAACATAGGAAATCTTACGCCATTTTCAGGCTGTACATATTTATATAAAAATTATAGCAGACACGCGATATTTTTAGATTTTCTTTAAGTAAATGATTTTTTTCTTATAACGAGATTAGACATTGTTATTAATACAATATACAATATCAATACATACAGTAACTACATAAAGCTTTGATGAAATAAGAGAGGGACAATAGCACACAATTTACACGAAAAAATGTTACCTGTTCTGAAACTTTTCCCAAACTTTTGTAACCTTCGTAAAACTTAAGTCTAAAAAAGAAATTGATGGAATTTTAGGCAGGCCGTGTCATAATTTTACAAATTATGTAGACCGTATAAATTGTTTCTAATATTTCTAGTGCTTGAAATTTGTTTACATATATATGTACAAAATAAAATAAATTATAATTTAATACATTTGTTATTTATGAAGTATTAAAGTTTAATTTTTGTTTTACTGCTGATATTTGAAGGGCATTCTATGTTTTAATTTCGGTTTTAAGAAAAAATCGTATATTTTATTGAATTGGTTAAGGCTTTCGAAAGTAAGGGAAATATAATTTTGTCTAGGTTATATATAGGATTTGTAAAAACTTACTCAATTGAGATTTCAGAAAGATTATTAAAATTTCTTGAGATCTCTTAAAATATTAAGCACTAAATAATGTTCTAGTCAGAACTTCTGGGTAGACGACTTGACTTAAGGGGGGACATCTGAGTAACAGGCGAAAAAAATCGGATTTTCTGGAAATTTTTTCGGCCAAATGAAAAAGCCAATCGAAAATTTGTAAATGAGGAAAACAAAATGGCAGCTTTGCAGCCTTTATTCGTTTATTTGTATTTTTTAAAGGGGGTCCATAGCCGGAAAACTAACATCCTTAATTTTTAATGTAGAACAAAAAATCAAGTATGGTTGGCTTCTATAGTATAGAATCTATACATCAACAGCTATCGACACACGTAGGATTTTTGCTATATATTGATTTGCAAAATGGTGAGTGATTGAAAAAAAAGTTAACATTTTCACGAAAAAAAACGTCACAAAATTGTTTATTAAAAAAAGTAAGCAATATAAAAATTCTACGTGTGTCGATAGACAAAGGTATTTTGAATATACTGTCAAAATCTCAGATCGATAGGTTAAGAGTTGTTCGAGTTATGTTTCCGGCCGTCTCAAAAAAAAACGGTTTCGAGAAAAACGCGTTTAAAGTTTTGGGTACTGTGGGATAGACCTGTGAGGCATCGCCACAGAATGGAAAATTTCGACACTTAGACACTTTTGCCGGACTCGTTTTTTTTATATGTTATTTAAGACCCTGAAGAATTTTTTTTAGCGAAAATAAAAATTTTCGATTTTTTTCAAATCTTTACTCAGATGTCCCCCCTTAAAAAAAAACAAAACAAAAATTAAATTAAAACGACCATATAATAAACCAATAGTATTAGTTACCTAACAATAATAAAGTCCATAAAATGTCCTCTAGCTCATTTTATTAAATACTTTATTTATTTTTATTCCGTGTTCATGTACATTCATCTATGGAATGTACTAGAAAATATTATGATATACACAAAAACATGGCTTATATAAGTACCATATTAGGAATATTAAAAGTTGGTTTCAAGCTTAATTATGAAGTTTGAGGTTTTGAAATTTTCACCATGGCCAAAAAATATGCACTAGATTTGTTTTCGGCCCCAAAGTATGCAAATGATATTTAAAAAAAATTATGCAATTGGCAAAACATTCAAAAAACCTTATGCAATTGCATCTGATATACAATGCAGTACAATATGTTGTAATTTACAACTTGTAAACAATTTCCTTGAAACGAAAAAAAAAGATCTTATAGAACAGATAGCTTGAACAGAACAGCTATTAGAATTGTTGTGAATTTTATTGTTAATTAAACATCAAACCATTTATACTACATTTGTTTCTGGTTTATGATAAGAACTAATTCTACAGAATTTCTGCCAGAGCTGATATGAATTCTGCGAAATTGGATTGTGTGTCATAAGCCAATAAAAGGCTTTTGCAGGGGGCCGACAGCTAGTTTTTTGCGAGGCAAGTTCATGGCTTGCCGCTGAGAACGAGATGCAGTCTTAAAAGCCATGTAATCGGTATAAAAAAAATTTCATTCATTGCATGTAAGATACGTCATCGTCAGCTTTCGATTGCATATTTGCAGTGCAATCTTGCGGTTTGTCCGAGAAAAGGGAAATACCAACTTAGTCATCGTCTTTCCCATCTTCTTTCCGCGCTCCAAAGTTGTTCTGTCTGATTTACGAGTTTTTTATTGGCCATTTGGTTGGAATTTGTGACTCCCATGACGCGTGCGCGACTGCAATTGACGTGTGTCTAACGCCATCGCCATATAAAATGGCTTAGATTAGCCCCGGAAGACAGGGCGGGGCGGATAGGGCACTAGAGCTGTTGATGAGAGCAGGTGTGCTCTCAAAGCTCTAAACTTAAGCTTTGTTCAGCTTTTCTTTACTTTCAATCAAGACAATCGCTAGTTAAAATAAACGCAAGCCAAGACGAATTTTAAGAGCTCTACATTTACAGTGGGATTCAAACAAGAAAGCATTTCATACATTTGGAATTTTTTATGGTATTTTTTAAGCTTATCATTTCTACATATGTATATGTTAATGTTCCAAAATAACTATTTATTTCATATATTAATTATTATTAACTCATTTTATACCAAAAATGTATTTTTATAGCTCAAATAAAACAAATTAAATATGCATGTGGTGTTTTGAAAGCCATGGGCTTCGAGGACAAACAATTTTAACAACTAGGAGAACTTTTATCAGAGAAGACCACACATAAATATTTTTCATAAAGTTCCAAATGGCTGATTTGGAATGTATATTCAAGATAGGTTTCGATAAAAAATTAAAGGAAAAACTTTTGGATTGATTTAATTTTAAATTCAGTTAGTACTTTTATTGTAATATTTTTTTTTAATAAAAGCTTAAGTTGAGTTTAGAAATATAATATTTATTAATTTATTTATTAAAGAAAGTATAAGTTTACAAATGTTTTATTAGGCCTTCGGCTGATAATAACCTATATATGTAAAACAAAAACATTTTTTCTCTGTGTTTAATGAATCAGAGGTGTTAGCTTGTCGCAAAGGAGCGACAATAACAGCAGAACAGCTGTGATAAAATCCACGATCGCAGCCCCTCTTTTCTCTCGGGTTCTCTCGGGCCCCAGCTGGGGAGCTTCGGCAGAGCTGCACTTTGTCAAGTGCTTGCCTGCCAGAGTCTTCGTTCATTTGTGTTCAAGTCGCCCGCTCTCGCTGTCGTGTCGTGTCGAGCCGGGTTGCGTTGTGCATGTTCTCAAAAGGTCGAGAAATCGGTTAAAGCCGCGGATGATATGGTGAAACTCTTCTTTTATCCGATCGGAAAAGCCCAGCACGCGTCGCCCCAAAGCCCTCCGGGCAAAATGCAGTAATATAAGCGCAAGCCAGCTGTCAACTTCGAATCACTTAACGCCGGCGCACAGAACCGAAAGGTCGTCGTTATCTAAAACGGAAACTGAGCCCAAATTTAAACCCAAACCCGAATCACAAAACGAAACAAAGTCGAAAGACACCCAAAACCCAAAAACAGTTCAACTGAAGCGGCGAGAGCGAAACCAAAGTGAAAAGCAAACCGACTAATTGAAGTCTGTCTGTCTGGCAGTGAATCGCCAACGTGCAAAGGAAACAAACAAAACGGAATAGGAATTGGCAACAGCCGCAGCAGCAGCGGCAACACATTATCACAAAAAAGAGAAATATTTATAAATAAATACCGACCAACAGCCAACTACGGGAACAACAACAGCCCCCATAACAAAAGCAAATACAACCAGTAACGAAAATCCGGCATTAACATTTAGGCAGTTTGTTTATTTTAAATACATACACGCAAAAGATCATAAAAAGAGCAGCAGTAGCAGGCGGAACGAAAACAAAGTTGTGGCTAGAGATAAGAAAATTGGCTGAGGCCTCCCCCTAAGCTTAGTTCCGCCGATCTCCACTGCTCTTCTCTGTAAGCCCCGACGCAGACGAAAGCCGTCCATAGTTTATATATAGTGTATGAATATCCCCCTGTATACATCGAAACCATCGGACATGATGCAGCATATGTGGTTCAGGTGGATGAGGATCCTGGTGTTGCTCTTCGCCCTCTTCGCAACGGTAAGCCTTGTTACAAAAATTAATCACAGTCGATCCTCCGAAAAAATGGAACAAAATTCGAGTAAATGTTTTAAGTGGCAAGTTGTAGGGTCGACTGTATTTTTAATGTGTTTGTGTCGTGGTGTTATGTTTTATCATCTCATTGGCTCACATTTTGGGTTATGGTTGTTCTAGTTTTCCAAAAAATGCATCCCCTATTCTTAAAGCTTTAGATTTTCCATAAATTCGGAATTCATTTCCATAACTCGAAGGGCATTTTCAAGTCTATATTAACCCGGAGCTTGCAAACCTGTTCGCATTGCCTCTGGCAAGTTATGTGCAATTTTCATTCTCGGTATAATAAATGCATATCATTGGGATTGCAATAATATTAATCGACAATAATAGTGCCGGCTATTCTGCACACGACTTTCGAGGTAATTTACTGCCGACAAGGAATGATCATCTATCTCTGGGAAAACAGCCCATGTAGTAATTAGTCGGAAATAATGACAACAGAGGTATCCAATGATCCGTTTGAAAAGCGCCTGCCACTTGGCCCGATTGGTTTTCCACGAATTCCACATTAAACACTAAACAGGTTTCAAAGAGCACATATTCGTTCTGACTAAATTCCAATTGGCTTAAGGAAAACCTAAAACTGAGATGGAGAAAATCTCAAATGTTTGCATAAGTTGCCTCAAACACAAACGCTGATAAACGCGTCTAAAAACTTGATATCTTATTGTCCAGCAAGCTTGGGAAAATACATTTCCGAGATATGGCAAAAACTCTCAGGCAATTAAGTTCATATGGGGCACTCTCCCAAGATCGGGTTTTATCGTCAATGGCAAGTCCCAATTTCGTTTGGGGCAAATTTTACATTTTTATCGCCTTCAGAAAGTGTTTAAATCATTTCGTGCCCCGTCTATGTTGAAGTGTGTCGATTAACAAAATAAAAATACTGATAAAAGTTATAATATTGAAGCATTTAGTTTTAATTGCAAGTTTCTCTATGTTATTTGTGTTCTATTAAAAGTTAACTTTCATAATTAAGTCTAAAAATAGTGCTTGCATTCTAGCTTATAGGCTTGCGTTGTATTAAATAATTTTTAATTTTAGATCAGATTGCCTCATTAAATTTCCCCTCTGTACTTAATCGTTATGACTGTCTGCTTTATAGAAACAAATGTTCTCCACAACTTCGAGCTTGCAAGACGTTTTAAATCCGCGAATAATTCAGCTCCGATAAGCCGTCCAAAAATGGACTATCAGCATAACCCCATATACATATACAAATTTGAAATCCAGCAGTGGTTTTTGGGAGGTTCGGGTCCTAACTCAACGTAACTAACAAAGTTCTACGCGAGAGGAAACTGCGCCTGCCCACAAAACAGCTGTTCAAATATTCAAAAACGCAAATGTAGTGAGAAGATAGAGCGAAAGCCAGTTGGGCAAGTTAGAGAAGCAATCACAAAAACAATAATATAAATACAAAAACAACGACCAGCCCAACAAATTACCCCAACAACCTAACCCCAGTTGTCTTGGAAATGCTGATGAACCGCAAACAAAACTCTTCCACTTTTCCGCATGTATCTTTCAGGTAGTTTTTATCAATAGCGAGATAGCTAAGCGGCGCAAAGCTGAGGCAGCCTTAGCGGCTTTGATGGGGAATCCGGGAGTCGGACAGTCAGGATTCGAAGAATATGACCAGGAGCCCAATCCGGGTAGCGAGGAGGTGTGCACAATTTTCTCCCGAAAGGCCGTCAAAATTCCAAATAAATATCCCCCTATTCCTAACCATGTTTCCTTTTGTTTTCCTCCTTTGTGTTTTGTATTGTGGCCTGAAGATATTCACCTACCCAAATTAAATCCTTCTTTCGTAATTTTCGCTACAGTTTGCATCGATCGAAGCCAATAAAGACTATGATACCCTCGTGCGCTCCATCTTCGTAACGAACGATAATCAGGGTGTACAGCTCTTTAATGTAAGTCAGCTGTCGAAAACAAAATTTTCATTAGTCCCCCACTGGCATTCTCATTGTACCACTCATTCCACCATTTGTTGGGTTGTGTTGTGTCTGTGTTATTTTTTTCCCACTCGGCCAAAGACTAACACACCTGAATTTTACCTGCACAGACAACGACCATGGACAATGCACCCCTCATGCCCATAAACACCATGCTCGGCGATCAGCCCCAGAATCCGATTCCAAATCCGAACCAGAATCAAAAGAATCAAACCCAAGCCCCGAAACCCAGATCGTCCACCATTTACCATCAGTATCACAGCCTAAATCAACAGCAGGATCAATACTTCAAAGTGCAGCGTTCTCCGGACGGGAAGCTGAATCTGGTCTTTAACGATACGTTCGTCTCTTTGCAGGACACCACTCCGCAGCCGCAGGCGGACCAGACTCCGCCCACCCACCGCCAGCCATCGGACAGTAAGTTCATTCAATTAAACTTTACTCAGACACATTCGATACTCGAACATGCTGAACAATTAACAACTAAATCGATCCCATACTGAATGGCCAATTGTCTTTGGCGCTTGCCTAACTTTTTAGCCTTTGTCTTCCCCGGTTCCGCAGGACATGGCCCACGTCCCATTTACCCGGCCCACTCGCCAGCGGGGGCTAATAACACCGCTGCCCTACAGCAGTGCGGAGATGTGAAGCCGGAGTCAAGGTCCTTCTGCACCCAAGTCGAGAACTATCCGGACCTGTCCGGCCTGAAGATGACGCTCTCGAGCAAGTTCTCCAAGTTCTTCAGCGATGCGGTCCCCACCGATGTGAGTGCCCGGGTGGGTATTGATGCGGATGATACGATCTACTTGTGCCGGGTCACGCCCCGTACTATCTTTCCCAAGATGGGTCTGACAACGCAGAACAACTGGGAGTTAATAGTCAACACTGACGAATTCAAACAAGCCATCCAAATTGAAGAGTGCGAGTAAGTGTTGAACCTTCACAAATCGATGGTTCACAATTCACAAATTTTGGTAACGCAAATGTTTAACCCTCAGAGTTCCCGATGCACCTTGTGACTTTACGGATAGTTTCCCCAACGGGTACAGGTCATCCTGCAAACAACATTACATGACCCGCAACCTTATCAGCATTAAGGACGAAGGCCCATTGGACCCGTCTCCAGAGTCCTTTAGAATACCCTCCTGCTGCAAATGTGTACTGAAGAGGGTATAGTCCTACCGACGAGGGGCTGGGGTAATCCCCATTCGAAAAAGCTGCGAAATTGTGATTTTGAGGTGAGACCACAATTTATTCTACATGAAATTTTCAATGAACTAAAGCGACAGACCAAATTGACGATAGCAGGACACAAAGATTTGAGGGTAGCATAGTAGTTGGAGAGTTGAACCTTTCACTTGACCAGCTTGCGCAGGGTCCATCCAACAGCATAGAATCCAACCAGCTTGAGCGCCATTCCCTTCCCTTCCGCCTTCACCATGTACTTGAACTTGTTCTCCATGTTCCCAAAGACCCGATCCATTGCAATAATAAGAATGAACAATCCACAAATCCGATAAAGCTCAAGAAAACTGAAGAAATCCAAGCGTCACTTGCGGCTCTTTGGTTTTTAAAAACCAGACTTTTCAAAAAATCAAAGTACGTTCTCGACGAATACGTATATATAGATTGGGAAGTTTTTTCAAACTGAAAAAATCCTGGACTCAGTTGAGGGACTACAGCTTGACACTCTTCCAATGCCAACTTGATTTTAATAAAATAATATGTTTATGTTTTCGTTTCAGCACCAAGATTCACCCACCACAGAATGGCAGGCCAAACTGTCCAGGGCTCGTTGTTTAATTGTATATTTTTATGACTTTGCAGACTCATAAGCACGATATGATACATTTTTATTCTGCAGCTGTCGTTTGAAGCAAAATCTAACTTAGTCTATGTGCATTATAATTTAAAATTTAATATCGAGTCACTGTAATCCAATTCGTGTCATATTTTCGCTTTGTCTTCCTATGATAGAATGCATGCAATTAGTTTTAAAATACCTACACAAAAATCACAAAGACATAAAACTACCACACAAAAAAAAAAAAAAAAAAAGAATGTATGTTAAAAAAGCTAATGTATAATAAATGTATGCGAGTACATGCCAGCAAAGTAAAGTTCTTTGAACCCATCAAATGCTGGTGACAGCTATGTTTCCACCACACCAGTGGTGCTGCCAACGTTTGGAGTACCTGGGTTGACAATTTATTTGCTTATTAACAATAATTCAGCTGGCCGTGCTGCGCAAACCAATTACAGCATAGTAAGTGTAAACACAGCCCCAAAGGACGAGGATAACACATGGCAACTACATGCACTTCTTGCTGTCAACGGGCGATGGGGCGTATGCGCGATGGGCCTGCATAATACACGTGGGGCTCCTGAAGAAATCAATACTATTTATTGATTCCAATCCCCAACTAACTATGTCAAAGTTAGGGCGAACAATGCGAATGCTGGTGGATTTCCTGTGGGCGGGCAAAGTGCCACCATTTAATTACTATTATTAGGTATCCTTGCTTGCCTGGCCAAAATAAAAATTGTCGTGTGCCGGTCATCGGGGAAACGAGCGGATTGGACATTGGCGAGGGTCATCAATCATGCACCTTCAAATAGCCACATACTAAGGTCGATATCAATTAGCAACCATCCATATATCTTTTCGTACAGCTTATGTGTTTATTATGGATCGGCTGGTGTTCCCTTAGTAATGTAATTTTTTTCCCATTACGCCACTGAGTTTTGGGCATTGGATTGTGGTCACTTGGCTCCTGGTTCGTGCTAGGTTTTGATTCACTTTGAAAAATGTATCCGACTGCGTAATACCTAAATTAAAGCTTTGGGATATTGTCTTAATTTGTGATTCAGGGCTAGTACACTTACCAAAACGATAAATCATCTATTACTTAATAGGACTGAATTTTTATTTTAAAGATTCGGATGCACCTGTGTGGAACCCAACAAAACTTCAGGTGTTTTTAAGAGCGTGAGTTTTTTAACTGGGCAATTATAAGAATAGAGGAGAGGGAAATTAGACAAACTTCGCAAAATGGTCAGTAATATATTATCTAACTCAGGTTATAATTGCAATTTGAAACCGAACGATTGTTTAAGAGCAACCGCATTAACCCTATAAGCCCCAATCCTTTGAACTTTTTAGGATATTTATGAGATACAATAAATTATTGAACACCGCTTAGCAAAATGTAAAGACTCTTTGAGGAATGGGTGCTATGGATTCCACACACTAGGAGCACGGACAATACGAAACATGCAGGACAGTCAGACACTGGCAGGACTTTTTGGTGGGAGCGAATGGGGCTCGGATTGGTGGCCCGTAATTGCCGCAGCACATTTGCATGGCCGAAGGAGTTAATGGGGGTTGCCTGATTTGTTTGTTGTTATTGTTATTATTATTGTTATTTTGTACGGTTGTTGGTAGTGCTGTTATTCGGTTGCTGCCAGGTATCGGAGCCGTATAAATACGTTCTGTTGACGACGGCCGGGCTCCAATACGCCGGTAGTCACCAGCTCCGACCAGTCGCCCGCTGCACTAGCTCCACTTGAGTCGCTATTTTTATAGAGTTTTACTCCGGGCCCGGTGCCCGAAAGTTTACGGCTGCATTTTAGCAGCTTTCGTTTTAGCCCTTTTAGCGCATAATGCCCAATTATGCAACTGCCTGCTGTTGCCTCTACGCGAAAAGTGTTAGGAGCAATAAGTAAACAACTAACTTGGCTAAACTGTTCTTAGTGTCTTTGAAACTGTTTAGTTCTGTTTTTCAACTTTGAGTAAAAAGCGCAACATGTGGCCTCTGTGACTGGAATTCGAATTAGTGCTTTAAACGAACTCATTGATATGCTCTGAAGTGCTTCGGAAAAATCACCAGAACCCGTACCCAGCGTGAATCCAACGAAAAAAGCACACCACGGAATATGCGGTAATCCATATGCCTTCCTGGTGACTAATGCTATGGCTATGGAAGATCGAAACCGTATTTGGACCACGGGCCACGTAAACCTCGGCTACTTCAGCGAAAATCTTCAGCAGCAGGCCTTGCCACTCCAAAGGCAGCAAACTCCGGGTAAAAACAATTTTGGTCCCCTAAAACTTTAGAGAACAACCTACATTTATTATTTAACAGCTTTTATAAATTGGTTGTTTCACGCCTCGTTCCAAACTTAATTACCAAGAATTTTAAAGTATATAGTTACTCAAAATAACTTCAGGAATAATAAATTGAAAATGTTTAAAGATTTTTTTTTAATAAATAAGCAAATTCCCGTGGATAGTGCTTCATGAGTACTGAAAAGTATGTAATAATCATATCTACATTTTTGTAATTTTGATACCCATTTTTGAAGCCCCAAACAATTTTAAAAACTTGTTTTTTTCTAACGAATCCAATGGATTTCAGACAGAGTTTATTTTAAAAGAGCGAAGAGAGTTTCTGAAATAAATAGGTGGTGTTCAACGGTTTGTGGTAGAAAATCGAGGGTCTTGAAGTTATCCTTGACAAATTTATTGGCAATAGCTTTTACTCTATTTGTAGTTATTGAAATAGACTATCGTATATGGTTCCTATACCCTTTATCCGCAATATGGTAAACCAATGCATTCCCCATTTAGTAGATTCAACGGTTTTCACAACAGCTTCATTTTCGGCATCCAGAGGTTGCAAGGTTACCGCATCGTCAGCTGTGCCCATTATTGAATTATTGAGGCTAGTTTCGTCCTCTTTCTTGCTAGATGTATCCTCGACATCATCATTTTTTTTCAACCGCAGCGCTGTGTTGAAAGCCAGCCTTGCCTGACTTTGCGTACTCCCGGCGAGCTTCGTCCTTTTTTGGCTAAAAGTTTGCCTGGACAATTGGCGGAACTTGGCGATTCGGGAGTGCATGGTGAAGCCGATGACCATCACGGCCACCGCCATGAACACCACACAATCGAAAAGGGCAGATATCATCTCGAAGGGCCTGGCGAATCGAGACTCGAATTTGGCCGCGTCCTTGAAAATTTCAATGGTGCCGTAGACGTCGTCGGCCATGGCGAAGAGATTGGACTCGATTTCGGCGGTATTAAACATATACATAGATAGCCTACGCAACATTTTGTGCAATTTTGGAATTTTGGGATTTTACAATTTTGTGTTACAATGAGTTAAAACACCAGACAGCTCACTGCTTGCTGTATACGCCGTATAAAAAAGATAAATGAAATTCCTTTCCCCTTTAATTAGGTTACTCTTTAAAGATGGAACCTTTCTGTGTGGAAGGGTAGTGACTTTCTGAAATGGGTTAAAATGCTGCCGGACATGCAAACTGGTTTTGCGGTCAATGAACCGGAAACGGTCACCGCATTCTAACACTGCATGTTGTCTACGAAAATGCAATTGCGTTGGACGTTCTGGCGACAGGTGTATGCATTAGCCGGAGACAATTAGGGACACCCAGGACAGCACAGCGCAGGCTAGTGACTGGAGTGAGTTATCCAGATCAAGATAAAGCCGCGAACACGAACCACAACATGTGTGCCTTTATTTTGGGGGGGGAAGAGCGGCGATGGGGTGGATTTATTGCTGCTTTTAGGCAAACACGATTGACAATATTAGACTAATTAGTGTTAATAAAACGTGCCTTTCTCCAAAGCGATGGAAATATATTTATCAAAACCTAAGCAATGCCTTCAGCCGATTGAGCCAATTAGTAGTGCGACGCAGCCCAGTTAACCGAGATTATTGGAAATCCATTTCAGGAAACCTGAGCCTACTTGCGACGCCCATTGTAGCCAACGGCAGTGCAAATGGAGTCGGAAATGCGAACGGACATGGACGGTCCTCGGCGACGGAAAGTGCCCAGGGCAAGCATCTTCCATTTCAGGGCCCAGCCCCCAATCTCGTCGGCGTGCAATCCAGGTGATTGGAGTAACATTACGCATTGTCTGCCTACTAATCACTATTTCCGTTTAGGTTTCGCCGGCTCTATTACCACAAGGTGGTACTGGGAGGACTGACTGCCCTCGTAATCGCTCTACTAATAGCAATCATAGTCATAAGCGTAACTCGTAAGTAGTCGCAATACATTTTGCGTTCAAAACCACAAAACACTTACTAAATGATGACTTGCATACGTAAATGATTTCTTGGAACTCTCGATCGGTTTTACGAGTTGAATGCAATGTTCTAAAATGATACAGTTTTTCTTAGTTGGAGATCAGGCGATCCTAAAATGAGAGACTAATTTGCATACTCATTAAACAGGCAACTTCAACTGTTTAATCTACTGTGGTTTAAAGCTCAAACAGGAATATTATAATAAAACCTATTTTATCCAAGTACCCTTAAAGCTATCCACTTAATTAATTCCAGTTAAGAAATCCAGCTCAATTTGCCGGAGCAAGGAGTGCATCCGCACAGCGGCCAGCCTCATCTATGCCATGGACGAACAGACTGATCCCTGCGAGGACTTTTACAAATTCACCTGTGGCCGATGGGCCGATCAGCATCCCCGGTCAGACTCCGTGACCTCCAACGACTGGTTTCGGGAGCGGCAGGCCCACATAATGCGTCTGGTGCGTGACTTTCTTCGATCGAATATTACCAATGCGGAGCCAGAGGCTGTGGGTAAGGCCAAGACCATGTACCGAGCCTGCATGGACACGAATCTGCTGGATCAGCGGGACTTGGAACCGTTGGTGGGCTATCTTGTGCGCTTTGGACTTCCCATCCTGCCCTCCGCCCTCAACCTGACCCTTGGGAGCAATTCGAAATTTGCGGGAGTGGCAGCAAACGACTCATCATTCAACTGGCTGGAATCACTCGTGACGATCAAGCGACACTTGTCAATGGATTTGATAATAGGGTTCGACGTGTTTCCAGATCCATTCAATCGCACCCTTAATCGGATCGCCTTGGGAACTCCGGAGACGGATTCGGCATTTCCCTTGTAAGTAAATAATAGAACGATTAAATATATTAATATATAAATAAAATCTAATGATTAAAGCAACAAAGACGATTCGCACAAGATGCTACGCAAGATCCACAGGAAAACAATCTTTATGCAAAACAGCGACGAAGAGGATGACAACGAGGATAACAGAGAAAGCGAGGAGGAAGAGGCTGCCCGAAAGACCAGCACGGGAATGACGGCCTACCTCCACTACGTACGAAAAGTGATCGAAAAGTACTTGCTCTATGTGGACCCATATGTCAACCAGGAGGATGCCACTTTGGGCATTACAGAGCTGGTCAAACAGGGTGTTAGAGTAGCTAGAAAGGTTCATGCGGTAAGCCTCCATATTTTTAAACTATTTTGAATCCTAAAAAGACCTTTTTTACTTTTCATACCAATAGCTAAAGGAAGAGGCTGAAAATAGTACAAAGCCCTCTAAAAATCCGGCAGACGATATTGTTTACATTTCACTGCAGGATCTGCAGAATCAGACAGACAAGAATATTTCTCCAAAAACATTGCCCATTTGGGCAAAATATATGGATCTGATCCTGAAGGGCACAAAGCACGCTAGCAATGTTCAACTTACCAGAAATCTGACAATCATCACTAGTCCGGCCGACATTCTGTATCTGCAGCGTGTGGTGGAGTATCTGGAGGAAACACCAGCCTCCCATATAGAGTCCTACCTATGGCTGAGCACCCTCGAGGAGCTGGTCCTCCACACAACGAGTTCCATGCGGCTGCTCCACTCGGAGTACATGAAGGTGGCCATTGGAACGGAGGGAAGCACACCGCGGTCACTCTACTGCGCCAACGGAGTGAACAGTCTTTTCGGAATGGCTGTGAGTTACGTCCTGGCAGATGACAGGTTCGTCGAAGAGAAGTTGCCTCGGGTGCAGCGAATGCTGAGCGATATCCGGCGTTCCTTTGATCGTTTGGTGAAGTCCACAACCTGGATGGACGCGGCCACCAAGCGGAAAACAATTCAGAAGTCTGCTGAAATGAAAAGCTTCATTGGTTACCCTACGTGGCTACAGAATGCAACTGCGTTGAATGCCTTTTACGAGGGGGCGAAAACGAATACCACCACCCACCTGGAGAACCTCATGAACTTTGTTCACTGGCAGATGATGGAGAAGCTCAATGAAATGGATAAGCCGGAGCCAATTGGCTGGGCGACTTCGCCTTCTAATGTGAATGCCTTCCACACGTTTCAATCAAATGCAATCAGTAAGTGAGAAAAAAATTCGACTTACATTTTTAAGGTTAAACTATTTAAGATAAATAATATATTGGATAGTTCATTAATTAATCTTTTGATAAATCTCTGCTTAAAATATTTCTTATGGTATCTCTGTTTAAGAATTGTACCTTAACCCTTATAAGCGCAACTCAAAATCGTAAAGTTAAAGCTCAAGCCGGGCCTCTGAGGCCCGGTAGACATTTTTAAGTCAAAATGGAAAAAAAATTTAAAAAAAAATTATTCAATAATACATTCTAACAGAAGTGCTAAATGCCAAAAAAAAAAAGACCTTTCAAAACTAATTTTCATGGTAGATTTCATGGTATCCACTCAGAGAAGTTATCTTTTGGAACAAAATGTCCCCATCTGTCTAAAACCGACCAAATTTGCAATTACATCGACGGCCCATCAGGCCTCTGAGGTCGGCTTGCGCTTAAGTGTCTCTGTAAAATTATCTGGATATTCATTTTTTAAAAACCTTTGATTTTCATATTACTTTGGTATATTCCAAATATAATTTCTATAGACAAGACCTGCAAGAATATACAAGTTATTATAAAAAACTATTACAAGAAACCCTTAAAAACTTTTTAGCCTAAAAATAAAGATAATTAATTATATACTTAAATATTTTTTTGACAGTGCTGCTTTTAGAATTGTTCTTACACTTTCATTTCTTTTGCAGCGGTGCCCATTGCCATTTTGCAATACCCGTTTTACGACCTCGGCCTCGAGTAAGTCCGCCCAGGAATAGAACTCTCAGCACTGAGCACATGGATAGCCGGGAAAAAAAATAAAAGAGCAAAGCTCAAGGCACGTTCCCGCATCTGCCATCTGCACCTTGCACTAATCCTTCATTCCGAGTTTTCTCTAATTCTCATCCGGGCTTTTGTCCTTTGCAGAGCCCTCAACTATGGATCCATAGGCACCATTCTGGGACACGAGCTGACGCACGGCTTCGATGACAGTGGTCGTCGATTTGACCGATTTGGGAACATGGTCGAATGGTGGTCCAATAAGACCATTGACGAGTACATCAACCGGACAGAGTGTTTTGTCGATCAATATAGTAGTTACCATTTGGCAGATATTGATGAATATGTAAGTATAAAGGGTTAAAATTTTGTACTTATAACATCATTACATTAATGCCCTCCATAGATCGATGGAGAACTGACTTTGGGCGAGAACATCGCCGACAATGGCGGAATGCGGGAGGCCTTTTACGCCTACCGTCTCTACGTGAAGGAGATGGGTCGGGAGCGGGCAAAACTGCCCGGACTGGAGCACTATTCCCACGAGCAGCTCTTCTTCATCTCGTTCGGCAACCTGTGGTGCGAAACTTACACTCCGGCGGCGTCGCGGTACGCCCTCAGTGACTCGCATTGCCCCGGGCAGATGCGACTCCGCGGCGTACTCTCCAACTCGGAGGAGTTCGCCAGGACGTTCAAGTGCGCCTCCGGCAGCCCCATGAATCCCAGCCAGCCCAAGTGCCGCATTTGGTAGTGAGCTCGCCGTTGGCCAACAACCAGAGCAGGCAATTCAAACAGGAACAGTCAAGTGATTTTTCGAAATATACATATATTTAGTAAATATTATTTACAGATAAGTTAGACGTAAGTTTAGATCGTTTATACAGGTGTCTTTTGCCCGCTTCAATGTTTGGTGGTGCAATAAATGGTATACGCTTCGCGTCTCGAAAGTAGACTACGTTTTAGTGGTAAAGATGAAGAACTTACATGTCTCATAGCATACTTTTGGGGCTTTAGTTTACTGGTTTCTGATCAATTTCATGTAGATTTATGCATTATGGTATTTATTTTCTTTAGATAATCATTAATATATATATTTAGTAAAATTACATTGAGTCGACACTTACAATACATTTGGAACATTCAAACACATACACACGCACGCACACCCACTTAAGTACATACAAATTGTGGGAGATTCGGTTCTTTGGTGGTTTTCCGTACGGCTCAGAACTCTGTGCAGTTTCCGTTCACCGGAAACGCCCTCGAGCCATTTGCCGATCGCTGGCCGGATGACTCCTCGGCGGGGGGACAGGCAGCTACCGCAAAACTGAGGTCTCGGCACATGAAAATTGGCTCTGTTTTTGGGGAGAAAAATCGTATTTTAAACAATGAATTCTTAATATAAAATTAAGAAATAATTTAAATTAAGATTTTATGGAAGCTATAACCCACCGCTTGCATAGAATTCGCTCGTAGCTTTCTCCTTGTGCTGATGTAAGTGGTGCAGGTGTTCACACGATGCAGGTGAAAAGCCCTTTCGGTTCCTGGCATTCGAAAGTAAAATATATAAACTTAATGTATTAATAAGAAAATAATATTTATAAATTAACAGGAAACTTTTTGCGGTGCAGGACATGCAAAGAGTGGCTGCGTGCTTTAAGGACTGTCATGCAAAAGCCTAAAATAGAGACAGTACGAAGTCTACGGCTATACGGCTGTACTACGAACTACGGACGGAGCCTCGGGACTCCGGCTGTGCGACAGCAACGGAACGGAGCACAAGCAGTCGATACACTGAGAGATTCGAAAACGGGTAATTGAGTGAAGAAGGGTGGCACCTAATGCGTATTTTAGGTTTCCTGACTAGACCATCACCAAGTCGGCGATGGTACTTGAAGGGCATCTCACCGGTTGCTTCGTAGCTGCGTCCGCCGCTGCTGCCCAGATATCGGTGTAGGCAGCAGCAGCGCCGCAGACCCGGTACACGGTACATAATCTGCAGGAATCCGCCTCGGAACCGGGCGTTCATATAGCAATAGATGATCGGGTTGTAGCAACTGTGCGACATGGCCAGCCAGTGGAACGCGAACCACACGTACGGCAGCGGAGTCCATCGCGCGAATTCCTCGTCGTTTAGCAGCAGCTGGAGGGGTTTCCATAGAATCACATTTAATATAAAATCTCAAAGATATAAAGTATAAAGGGTCGGGACTCACCTGCAGAATGTTAAAGGGTAGCCAGCACATGGTAAAAACAATCACAACCGTCAGCATCATCTTGATCATCTGCAAGAAAAGTGAAAGGGGAAGAGGTTAGCCAAGGGCTGTACAAGTTCAGTGTCTCAGAGTCTATTTATAGAGCTGCGGTCGTGCACCTCAGAAGCAATATTATCCCATCCCCTAGCTCTTGTCTCGCTTTTACGACCTTGACCGTACTCACATGCGGCGAAATTTCCTCGTATCACAGCCCTTCGGGCCGTAAAATCTATGAGGGGTGCAGTTCCAGCCATAAAATGTGACCAAAACAACCAGCTCAACTTTATTTATATCAGGAGGCAACGACTTTGGCCTTTATTGCCACTTGAAACTAATTTTTATCACGGCGTCTTTAAGCCTAAAGAGATGGGTATTTTTGGAAGCTGTCAAGTAATTATGAAAGGAGAGCAGGAAATACATATATTTGCATGTCGGTCTGTAGCCTTTTCGGGAGCAGTTTCAAATGGGATGTAACTCCCCTCCACTGGTATCGTAAATTCCGCTTTCCTTCTTCGACACGCAAGTTAGACATAAAATTTCTTATGGCCGCGCTTGGAAATGATTTCGTTTTTGTTGTTAGGTGGGAAAAGACAGATGAAGGTTACCCTACATATGTACATACGTAGGGCTAAAACACTGAATACCTGTATTTTGGAGCCTACTTGTTTATCCTTCCCGCACTCCCACTAATTTAAGTTAGTAACCAAGTCACAGGGCTTTAACGCTTCAACAATGTGCTATAAAAAGGTTACCCAATCCAATGTTTTTGTTTTTTTGCCGACAGATACAATCGAACTGCGACAGAATGGCTAAAATGACGGCATTATTTACTTTAACGATGAACTCAGTGGCCACGTATCTTTACCGTGACTCCTAAAAAAAACTAATCGTAAAGGTTTACGGGCTGAAACAAAGCCCCGATAAAGTTGTAAGGTTTTTTTACCTTCAATTGTTACACTAAAGGAAAAGGGGATGCCATAAAAAAGAAACTAATTTAGTTGTTCTTATTAGTTTTAATCCACATGAACTTTTTTCTTGCAAATTCTTAGAGTTAAGTATTTGAATGATTATATATTTTAGGCTTTTTTTCTTAGTGATCTTTCGGAGAATCCCCAAAGCATAGTCACCTTACAAAGGCCAAGAAGTGGCTATAAACGAATCATATTCACAAGCCATATTGAATTTTGAAACATGCAGACTCTCCCTTCTAGATGTGAGTAGATTGAATCATATTTGCATGCAAATGTTATTGGATAATCGTCCATAAATGCGAAATCCGAATGCAAATAGCATCTTGCTCAATAGCGAGGGATTATGAATTGATTCAATGGCCATTTGGATGGAAATCAGTACTTTGGCATCTATTTTTTTGTGCTGAACGCATCTGGCGACAGTTTTCCGTTTGGCAAGCTGGCATTTGCTTTTTATTAACTTGGCAAAGTCGTTTTATTGGCCTGCCTTTGTTGCGGGTCGGTTCTCCCTTTGGCTGCAGTTGCCAGGGCACCGTTAACGAGTGCTCAACGAGGCCATTTGATTCGTTTTAATGCCTCGTTAGTTGGCCGTCCAGCCGGGGAGTGTTAACAATGTCAACATCAAGTATACGCCACGATGTACGGCCAGTCACAACAAGAGGGACCCAGAGATGCAAACAAAGTGAAGCCAGCTGAATGTTTGTACAAATTCGTGTGTGTGTTGTTGTTTCCTTGGCGTCTGGACACGTGTCTCCTTCAGCAGTGACCTTTGGCCCGCCACGCGTGTGGCAGCGTGTAAAAATGCATATCTCCTGCTATGCACTTTCCCTTTATGCACTTTGAAAAAATTCATACTCTCAAAAATCCTCCATGATATTAATAATTTTATGAGGACTTAAACACCCAGTACATTATTATTATTTTTAAGTGTATCTAATGACTGCGGAGGTGTAAACTGCAATGTCATCTGGCCAAGAAGGCGCTCAAACAGCAAAGGCAGACTTGTTTACCATATGTCATTTGAGCCGGCTGGAATATTTTTGCCCGTGGCTCTGGTTTCATCTTTATTGTGGTAGTTTGTTTTTGGCCACCTCGACATGACAGCTCCACGACTTAATTGCCAGCAGTGGATGCTGCCGGCTTTGGCTTGGAATATTTCATTTTGGGGGTTTGTTGGCGGCTTTTGAACCGGTTAGCGGTTACAGTTATGCCCGCCCATCAAAGTTAATGCCGCATCGGCATTACGGCTTACATAAAAAATGAGCTCATGTACAAGACTCAGTACAGTCAGTGCTGTAATTCATCAAGCCGATTTCAGTTTCAGGCCGGCTCACACCCACCTCGAACAAAAACAAAAAAGCGGCAAATTAGGAACTGGGCCATCAAAGTCTTAGGCTGACAAATGAGCTTTGATCCCCCCTTCAGACCTGTCTGGTGAAATGTGGCCGAAAGTGAGGGCTTGAATTTCGATTGAAATAGAAAGGCCGGCTGTAATGAGGTGCAAAGTGTTCTCCATAATAAACCCTTCTCCCCGGCTGATTCACTAATTAAATTTCCCAACACGTCCGGGTGGGTCAAATGGCTTCTATTCCTTAGCCCAGTTCGCCATTTAGTTTGTTTAATTAATGAAGCAGACAGATGTCTGGCCGGGCTGATTGCTTTTTAAGTGTTAGGAGTTTGATTTATTCGAGGCAAGGAAACAGGATTGCTGCTACTCAAAATATTTATCAGTCGTTCATTATAATTACTATTGACAAGAGTAAACACTTTACATTACGCGTGTTTTTCCTCCGAAAGATTACATTTTGTTCCGCTTTTTACTAAGACCTGGCCCAATCAACAAAAAGGCGCGGTAAGCGGTAATAGGTTGGATGGCAATATTTCGGGCATGCCACGTAATTTTTTATTATTCCTTGTTTTTTTCCAACTGCCATTGAGGGCCATTGAAAGCAACTGTGGATAGATAAAAAATTTCGCCAAATAAAGTTGAAAGCCATTTCTTTCATTTAAAGTTTCCCTTCTTTGCGTGGGAGTTGGTAAGTGCCTGGAAAAAATGCCACAGAAATATGAAGCAAACTTCATAGAAATTGTAGCTGAAAACTAGTTCACTTTGGGTCTTTACAGCATCGCGCTTCAACACCAACTGACCATCGCCATCATCAATCAATCCATTTCACTTATCGATTAGCTCGTGCCCATAGCTATCCCCCTTTGGCAATTCTCCGATGATTACGAAGAGATTACTGACCCCCGGGCACCCGCATGTCTCGAACTGTGGTAATTGAAGCCGCCTTTTAATTGCCAAACAATTGCGAAAGTGGCCAGAAAGGAGAAACATGGCTTACTCTGCTGGTAACTCCAAGGTGCGCCTCCAGCTCCAAAATTGTTCTCCGGTCATTATATTATACCGCCAAACTAATCAGCAACTAATTTGCCCAACAATTTACAGCTGAAAAAGTCTTTGAACCAGTCGGGCTTGAAATTTCTTATACTCTTATTTTTATAGTTTGGTAAAATTGTTTAAGCTTAAATTTTTGAGAAATTATTCAGATTAATTTTTTAAAGACTTGAACTTTAAGCTTGATAATGGTTTTCAAAAGTTTCTAGATAAACTTTAAATTCTTCACAAAAAATTTTCTATTCGGCGATAAATTTTTTTGCTTTATTAAAATTTTACCTTTAATAGATTAAACTGCAAGACCTTCGTTGACCGACAAACGAAAATTAAGTGAGCAAAATAACTAAATGGCCACCACAAAGTATCGTAAAAATCCAAAAGTCATAAAAAATAATCAAATAAAAGCGGGAAGACCAAAACTGGCGGTTGGGGGCCAAATGGACTTTTTGTTCGCTGCAATTATACGCTCTTCGGTTTATGGGGCTTGGAACAAAGCATCACCGGACATTGACCGACACAACCAGAGAAAGGACTCCTTGAAGAGGTCCCTGGGCCTTCAGCAGTAAGCCATATTGGCCGATAAAACCGAATAAAATTAAAGCTGAATGAATTGTCTTAGCGGAGTTTTTCAAGTTGTTGCCATACTATGTGAATATATCGTGGTAGATGGATTTGGGAGACCTTCAGCGGTGTACGTGAGCCGACTTTTTCTTTTACGACCGACATACATTATAATTAACCCGCCCTCGAAGCTGTGCGTAAAGGAGGGCGTGGCAGGAAGCGAGTGACTAAGAAATACGCGCAATTAATTAAAGCGCCCTAAGTGTCATAAACCGTCCGAGCGCTGTCAATTAAACGACGTCACGAAGGTTCGGCAACAACCCTTAACTCCTCCCAAAAGCTATTTATTTTTCTCCATTTTTTTTTTGGACCTTGCGGAAGTGTTGCGGCCGCGATTTATTGTGGGCGTGTCACTGACAGGCGGAAAACGGAAAAAACCGCTTGAAATGAAAAAAGAGAAACCCTGGACCGAAAAGTAAAGGTCATAAAATTGTTTCGCTTATGCGACAGCATTCATACATATTTGGTTAAGAAGGGAGGCTACACGGACCATGTTGTTAAGAAATTTTCTTTACAATGTCCACAACACGGATCCCACTCATGTTTGCCCTGCGCTCTCCAGCAAATTGAATTTAAAACATTTTCTTTGGCACATAAATTGTTTTTTCTTGGGCCGGCTTTTTCCTCTCACGAACACACTTTAAGGTATTTTTGCTTACATTTTGGTTCTTTCTATACCACCTAATTTTCTTTTATTATTTATGTTCTTAACAGTTCAATTTACTTTATTTCATTCTCAAAAAATAAACTCGAACATTTTTCCTAAAGAAAAACTAAACAACTCAATAATGTCAAGTTTTGCAAAGTTCCTCTTTTGAGAATCTGCAGCACAATCCTGAATCCACTGAGTGCTACTAAAAATAGAAAATTCAATAAAAACTACGGTGGGCGGAAGCTCATGGTCATGAATTGCATCCACGTCCTAAAAATAGAAACTATTATCCCACCAGATTACGGCGGCTGCTGTGCAACATGGCGTATGAGTGATATGCAAAAATATAGAACCAGAACCCAAGTCCTGTGGGTGAGGTGGTGTGGGAAAAGAGTACTCTAATAGCACAATAGAAGTTCAATGTTTACCCAAAACTACGGGGCTTCTGTGGAAAGCAGAAATACCAATTTGCGACAATGTTGTGGCCTCAGAAACTTTACAAATTGCAATTGGCTGCATGTGGGCGTGTTTGGTTTGTGGGCGAAATCTGCCTGTGTTTGATGTACTGGGCATCCAGCCACCTAAGATCCACCTACGACCACTCACAGCCTTCCACCTGCTGAGCTGTGTTGACGGTTCTGGGGTGTCTGTTTCCGTTTCGGCCAATTTTCAGGGTGGACAACACGTTCGCAATTTTACGAGCCAGCCAGGAATAGCCCTGACCACGTGCACCGTATCGAAACTTTCCAGGAGGTGCATCAATGATATTGTTTTTACGTAATTTACGACCCCCAAGGCCTGGCAGTGTGTTCATCGAAGTAATTAGGAATATTGCAGTAACGTCTGTGTCTGACAAGATAAAGGGCAAGATAGGTAAATACTTTTAAAGTTAAACTTTGTAACGTATCCACTTCAAGTATATATTTCTGTAATATTTCATAAGCTAGCATTTTATTTTTGATTGATTTGTAAAAAGTCCTGCGGACAGTACTCCCTATTCATTTTATAAAACTGAAAAAACAAACATTTGTAAAAGTCGCTGTTTGGCAAACTGTATTGAAAAGATTTCAGCTGCAGGGCAGAAATTTGCATGACGGATTGCCATTGATTGTACAAACAGAAAAACAACAGAAATGGTCAAAAAAGACACCAGGGTTCAGTGTTGGCCCAGACAGGCGGAAGCAAGCCATACGCCCATAAAATATGAGGCTGAAAACAAAGACAGCAGACCAGAGACAACTGAACTGTCAGTGAAAAAATAGTTAACCCTTCAGGGATTTTCATCATACAACATTTATAAAAGAGTTGACTTTTAAAAAATCTATTCCTTTTTTAACAATTGGTTTGGAAGCTTCACAAAACAAAATATAAATGCAGGCCTGAACCATCTTCAGGTTGCTGTCGATATATTTATTTGCATTCTTTTCAAATAAAAATAATATAGTTTCTTAGCTGAAAAATATAAAAAAAATTATATAAAAAAAATGCAAGCTCAAAATGTATGTCTTAAATGGGTTAAAGGTAACAGCAGCAGAAAATAACTATGCTGAAGTGAAAGTGCCAACTCGGTGCCCCAAAAAGGGGGCAGAAGCTTGTACGGCAATGACAATGCCATTGGTGTCTGTATACTTAAAGCATTAAAGCCCGGTAACAAAAAAAATAAATAATGTACGAAAAAATAAAACAGAAATAAAAATTAAGCCTTTTCCGTAATGACAACCTAAAAACCAAAGCAAAAGTTTGTCATTAACAAGGTAAGGCGGGGAAACTACAACTTCCTATCGAATCGGCAACCTAAACTATAAAATAATTAACTTTTCTCGAACTTTTTTTTAATCGTTTGTAACACCAAGTTTTTAAAGTTTTTCACTTACTTTCTGCCCGCGGAAACCCAAAAAGGAGCTTAGCCTTGAAATGCCTTCATTTAATTAAAAGGATCTGAAATTACTGGTCAGAAGCAGGACCTTTGTATTTAAAACCACAGGGACGCTTGAAAATGAGTGAAAAAACGAAGGCAAGGCCAGCCGTGTATAATGGCAAGAAATGACTTTTTAATTAGTTTCACAACTCCCTGAGCCACTTCCTTTTACTCTAAATGGCTAATTAGTACAACTTTCCTTTTCATTCGACAGCAAAACTAAGTTATGCTGAATTTAATTCTGGGCAAGGAGTCCGGACGAGTTCTCGTTGTTCTCGCTTTCCTTTGGCCTGGAAATGTCAGATAATAAAATAAAAAATATTGGAGATTTTTTTTCGTAATTTTGTCACCGTTGTTTTTTTTATTGTGCATAAAGTACTTAATCTAGGATAATTAAAATATATATTTATATGTATGGAGCATGTGAGGCCCCGCTATATCATCTTCCTCTACAATATCATCATCATCGTCAGATTTATTGCTTTTCGGGGCGCCAAGCGGAGTTCCCATCCAAGGAACCCACCACTCGTCGCCTATTAGCTAATAGAATTATCCAGGCAGGGCCGAAGGTTAGACTCTAATCAGTTTCAGGTGAGAATTTCCAGGTGGACGGACGAGGATGAAAGTGAGTAGTGTTTGAGGGAAATGAAGTGAAAGTGAAGCACGGAAATGTATTATGTACAAAAGTCGTGGGCGAAAGCGCCGCCCCCTTTTTTCCTTTTTTGTGATCTTGGAAGTAGTCAAGGTCTAGTCTAAGATGTGTCAGAAAAAAGAGGATTGTGAATGACTTGAAAGGATCAAGAAAATGAAGTCAATGGTAATGGGATGATGTGGTCTTCGTGAGAGAGTCGGGGGCGTTTCAACGACAGGACTAGTCTTGGACAGCTTGAGCCGAGTTCGAAGTTAGCAGTTTTGAAGTTGTCGATGGGTTTGAGGCGCCTTAGTAGGGACCGGACTTGCCGGGGGGGCCGTAATTGCTGGACGGGGCCGAGATGGCACCGCTATCACCACCGCCGAATCCGCTGTCGCCGCCGGTAGTGTAGCCACCGCCAGTGTTGGTCTGAGTAAAGCCGCCGCCGGAGGAGCCACCGGAGATGCCACCAGCCTCCTTCTGGGTCTTGTACTTGATGAAGTAGACCTCGGGCTTTGAGGGCTGTGTAGGTGCGGGCGTGGGGATGACAATGTCCTGCTGATCCTCGGGCTTCTTCACCAACACATAGACCAGGGTCTTCTCCTCGTTCTGGGGCTGCAGCGGAATAACTGGAGCCTGGTACGAGGGTGGAGATGGGGCCTTGATGAAGATGATCTTGTAGTGCTTCTGAGCCTGGCCCACTGGCAGGTTAGGGCGCTGACGCACTTCCTCCTGCTCTGGTGGTGGCACATGGACGTAAATGTGCTTCTGGACGAGGGTGGTCCCACCACCACCACCGCCGCCGCCTCCGAAGCCACCGATGCTTCCTGAAAAATTAATTTCTTCGTATTGTGGATACTTTGGTTTGGTTTACCACGAACACGCACCTCCTCCGAATCCACCGCTGGAGCCACCGCCGAAGCCTCCTCCGAAGCCACCGCCTCCGCCGCCACCGCCGCCGCTGGAGAAGCCACCTCCTCCGCCACTGCTGAAGCTTCCACTGCTGCCGCTGCTGAAGCTGCCACCGCCTCCGAATCCACCGCTAGATCCGCCACCGAATCCACCGCCGAAACCACCGCCGATGCCGCCACCAATGCCTCCGCCGATGCCACCGCCATGGGAGCCACCTCCGGAGCCACCGCCGCCACCTGGACGGTTGTAGTTGTATCCGGCCTCAGGGCGGGCGGCGGCCAAAGCCAGACAGGACATTAGGATGAAGGCTTTCATGGCTTCTGGGTCACGGGTTAACGTTGCGTATGGGTAATGCGGATTCTCACTATTATCTCACGAAGCACTCACTTAGCACTTGGCACGGTATCTCACAGTAATCCCAGGTCTGTGGCGTACGTAATTATATGAACATGCGGTGGGGAGGAAAACAAAATAAAGGGTTTAAGGATTATCCACTGGGATACGATGGGTTACTACTATGCTGCAGGTACTGCAGGGGATGATGCCTCACGTTTCTATATCCTCGAGATGCACTCGGCTGCTGTTTATTAGACCAAATCAAATGCTTCACTGACGAACCACTGCAGCCGCATCACCAATTTATACAGAAATCCGCCAGATGCACACACCACCACTACAAGTGCTTTGAATCTGCGAGAGGGTTTTTTAGTTTTTTTATTTTACGTATCTCTGTATCTTTGTATCTTTGGGCTTCATAGCTGTGTCTGTGCCCGTGTTGGTGTGATGATGCGACTTGGCTTTTCGGTTACTGCGCATGCGTGGCGAGCAGGCTAATAATGATTGTCGGTTTTTTGGCCATCTGTCTGTCGTCCGTCTGTCTGTCTGTCTGGCTTGTGTTTTTGTATCTCTGGGTGTCTCTGTGTGGGTTGCCAAGTGAAACTGAAATTACCGCACAATCAACTTATTACAGCACAGCAGCAGCGTCTTTGGCCATTTCCCGAGAGCCTGGACTCTCCCCATTCATACTCTCACTCGAACTCTCTCTCCGCCTGGCTCTGTGGCATTGTCTTGGGGGCGCCGATTTTGGCCAAGTTAAGACCCAGACAGCCAGTGTCGTGCACTTTCGCTCTCATCGCTGCTGGGCCCCAGTGGATCGCTTGTCTGCCGGGTCGATTCCGCACTACACCGTCAGCTGGCCAAGTGAGCAGTTTGCTTTCCTTCGCTTTTCACGACTAACGTGAAAATCAAACGAAAAACTCCCGATGCTCCGATCCCGGTGACTCTCCAAAACCATAACAATGGCAATTTCGAATAATTTGAGGTCTGTGCCGCCGAGTGTCTTCCAGTGGATCTTTTGTGTTTCGATTTTCCACAGGGGGCATTTCTTTTCCTTTGTATGACAAATGCCCCAGTACGTGCCATTACAGATGACTGAGTGACTGAATGTGATTGTGAGTGGCGGAGAGTTTGTTCGTATAAGTGTGCCACTGTGCAAGGCCTATCCGATCCGAGATTCGCCGTAAAGATATATCATAAAACTGGGTTGGTCGTGTCTGGTGTGCGAAAATAATTGCCGGGCGGGATCGTATTTACCGCCAGACATCCTTGATGTATGTGCCAAAGCGCATAAATCAGACAAAATTTGTGGTTGTTAAAACATTTGTTTTTTAAGCAATTATTGCTGTAATAAAACTTTTTTTGGTTACCGAATAATATTAGACGTATGTTATATTGAAGTTGGATATAAATTTATAATAAACTATAAGATTTGATTTGCACAGTTTCAAGTACCTAGTTTTGGGTATTAACTGTAGAGTCCAAAATATAACTCTTTCTTAAATTAGTTTCAAAAAATAATGTCTTGCGTAATTTAACTTTATGTCACTCCAATAACAAAATCACATCAAATAGCTGAATTTAAAAGCTTGCTTTGTTGGCGCTTTGTGCTGTAATGATATCAATGAGACTTATTTCTCTTTACTTCCAATTTTTGGTCGGTTAATTGTGTTACTTTTAATGAAGTGGTCCGGGATCGTTCATTGAACCGAATACAAAGCGGAGAAAGGCGAATTGTCGGGGAAGAATGAAAATCAAGACAACACTTATTCAATTAGATGCCAATTTTCGGGTCAGTACATTTCATTGTGTTCAGCACAGTGCGATTCGATGCGACTTTTAATTTTATTAAACATCCACCCTAGACCAGTGGGGGTCCCCCCTTTACCGGCTTTTTCTGAAGAAGATACGCAAACCAAAGATATTAAAAAAGGCAGTGAAGTAAACAAATTGCTAAAATCCACAGGCGTTCGGCTGTATGGAAAATACAGTAGTTGACATTAACATTTCATTAACCCGTTTAATGGCCCAAGCAGCTCGCACCTTAAAAATCAATAAACGTATTTGTGCCCACTTCACAGCTTTGTTTGACACTCTCGGTCCGTGTTCGATTTCAGCCAACTCGATTAGTCATAATTCATTTCTGAGCTAATGGATCGACGAGCATTTCTCCAATCCCGCCAATTAGGCTTTAAGTGAAGGCTTATCGCGCCGGACAAAAGACTGTCTGGCATGGGCGGGTTGGCCGAGGCGTAGATAATTATTATTACCAACTATACTATATGGGGTGGGGGACAGAAAACTATGGTTTATGATGTATGTGGCAGCTGGTCAAAACTCGTTGACGATCGCACTCTTAGGAATAATGATAATAAAATTAAAACGCAACTACAGCCTGTCAGCCGGCGGACGGCATTTCCGGCCATGCCTGCCATTCCCGGTGCGATTTCACCTTGAATCTCACCCATCGATTGTGTAACCCGGACTCCCAGCTGGCAGCTCCCAGCTTCGGGCCAAGTCAGGAGCATATGCAAACACCGAACATAACGTGGCTAACGAGCGGCGAGCGATTTCTCATGTATTGACAAACTTGTAGATGCAATAAATTGCATCGGCAATGTGGGAAATTAAATGGAAAACCGAAATAAATTCAAAAAAGCACCAAAGCCAAGCGCACCCGCAATCAGCAAGGCAGCCCCTCCGGCTTCTCCAGGGGAATGCCAACCGATTTTAGATGGATGGGAATGCAAATCGAAGCTGGACTCCAAGTTCGAGTTCACATCCAAATGCGCGGAAAACGGTTGCCAAGGCTAAAACAAGAGCCTTTTTTGTGAATTTTTTGCGCTCTCAAGGGGTATTTAAATACTTGGCAATTAATATTTAACATATTTATTACACAAATGCCTGTTTGAAAAACTAATAATATAATTTTAAATTTATAGTTCAAAGTAATTAAATTTTAATGAAAGTGGTCTCTTAGAAAGTCCTAAAAAAGTGTATTTCTTTCGTCTGGCCGATGCTAAGAAACTTCCATCTCCACTTAAATCGTTTTTATTTCAACTTCCGAATGCCTTTGGGAAAAAAGCGCGGCGATCGCCTAAAAAAGAAACCGCAGCTGGCGATAAATCTCACGCTCAACAATGTGGCTAAAAATAAATGGCAACAGCACCAAGCAGTTGTTCCACAAAGGCTTAAAGAAGTCAATGGGAAGTTTAAGAGCTTAAAGCAAAAAAATACTTTAAGAAAAAAGTAAATAAAATAAGAGAAATTTGTGATAGAAAGCAAGATATCTAATATCTTTCAAAAGTAAATAAAGGTTTCTTATATTTTCTAGAGAATAAGTTATTTTTCAAATAATCTTGAGACCCCAATGCATCGCTTCATAAATAAATAATTTAAACTTGTAGCCATGAATAAATCTGGAATCAATATTGAAGAACACAAATTTGTTTGCTTGAAACAATCCAGATGGCTGGAATATGCAAATACTTGAATTTTAATCGCTGCTTAGTGGGTGGCGGGGGATGTTGATGTTGCACTGAGGGGTCGTTGCATAAAAGATGCCGTTCCCAGCTTGGTGCCATATTTTCAGAGCGTGTTCAGGTTGACACTGAAAGATACAGATACACGCAACGGCAAAAACTCAACGGGAGCATCCCTGGGAAGTGGGTGCTGCAGGTTCCAAGCTGCGCTTGTCGGTGTATTGGGAGGGGAATGATGATGGGTAGGAAGTCGTCGCCGGCGACGACAGTTGTTGCTTCCTGCATCCATTGTCGCTGCTTTTTGCCGGCAGCATCTCCACCATCCTCCATCTCTTCCAGCTGCAACTGCTATAGCAGCCTGCCTGCCCAGCGCCTCTCCACTTCCTGCTTGTTAAGCAAACGGCAGCGTGCAAATTTTATATTGTTGGTTACGATTTTTGTTTAAGCTGTTTGCATTTTTTACTATTTTTTTTTTTTTATTTGTATTTATTTTTCATTTTGCACACTGAAATCGTTCGGTGGCGTTTTTACATTTGACATTTTTGGTGCTGTAGCAAGTATTTCTACCGCCGTGCCGCCGAACTGCCGAACTGCCATGCTGCCGGCGTCAATTGCATCTTCCATCTGTCTGCGATGGTATCTTCAGTGCAACTCCGATACAAGATTGCAGTTTTATTATTATTTATTTGTATGGTTCGCCTGCCTGTTGCCTGTTTGATTTTGTTTGTTGTATTCGCTTCAATTGAAAATGTTGCCGGACTACTTGAGGAGTCGTCTCCTCTGCTGCTGCAGCTCGCTCACTTTTAAATGCTAATTAGTGTCAACGACTTTTTGTTGCTGAGTTGGGCTTTTATGCTTTCGGCCTCCTCTAGTTTAACGTTTAACGCTTGACCATTTGGCAATTTAAGAAATACAACGAAATCATCTAAGGTCGCAGACAAATGAAAATGTTAGTGTCCAATACCAAATGGGAAATTCGGCAAGTGGCTCGAATAGTTACTTTTAATCCAAGTGCTAGTCATTAACCTTCTCTTGCAGACGGCAATTAAAAGTTGTTTGTTAGACTGGCCCAAAACTTTTCCCACTGCATGGAAATTGGATTTGGAATTGTTGGATCTGTCCCCGGCAGAATGAATGAAAACCCTACATTTTTAAATGAAATTGTTTTGCCGGAATTCAATTCACTTCCCTTCCCGTCCACGTCAGTCTGATAAAAACCGCATTTCCTTCGTCGCAGCAAAATGTGTGCCGCACTTTATTTTTTCTTCCATTCAATTTTCACTTTTCCTTCAGTCACACCCTGGCTATTCAGAACATATAGTACATATCACTGGCAGCTGCTGAGTTGCCTTTTTTCCATTTTCCAGTTGCATATCAAAACCCACAAGGGGCTGTTAATTTAATTGCAGTACCCTCAAGGCTCATACATACATCGTTTGCGTTTGCATACGTTCCAGTTCTATGAAACACTTTCGGTTTCTTGGTTTCTTCCCTTTTCCTGCAACTATAGAGTGATGTGTGCCAGAAGTGTGCTGTGGCTACAATTTTAATATGCAGTTGCAGAGTTAATGGGTTTCATTTTCGCCGCATGCCATACTATTCCAATTTAGTCAGCATTTCTGTCCTGGTTGCTTTTCGGGGACCTTTTCACCCAACTGACAAATGGAAAAGTCGTGTCGGGTGAGCGAAGCATTAATCATGTGGCACCTTTCACCCACATTTCTTACCTCATTTTTGGGGGGCAACGCATTTTACACATTTGACGTCTTTGAAGTTGCTAGTTCACACAACGGCTGGGGAAAAGTTTTCAAGGAACTTTGCGGAAGAGTTGCACA